AGTAAAAAATGAAATCCAGAATGGACGAGAGTGCACTAGAATCTCTAATAGTGATTGGAAGGTTTTTTTTTTTAATTGTCTAAGTCGGAACCGTGCAAACAAAATTTATTTGGGTCTTTCTGTAAAATCTGGACATTTAATTTAAACAATGAACACCGTTTACAGAAAAACTAGTTTAATTTTATTTACAAAAAAAAAAATGTTCTCAATAAGTTATCAATTATTGAACTTTGTACCTATATGTACACAATTATATTTAAAATGAATAATGAAACACGCTGTTTCAGTGCGAACAACGAACTACGAACAACTGAACGTGCGTGCCGCTACGCAAATGCTCATTGTGATTTGTTGACATTTTACCGTCAATATTTAGCGAATTACCTTAAATTCACATCATTAAAATTAGAATCTTCTTCTTTAGAGCAACGGCTTTAAATAGGCTAGGTATATGGTTACGTGTCCAGCAATGATAATAAGGTATTCGGTAAACATGAACAAAGATAATATAGACTAGCGCCGGCATGGACATCAAGTGCTTCAGCCTATCCACCTTTACCCTGGACAGTGGTCAGGCAGTGTTATCTATACTGTTTGTACAGTTAACAATGGAGTAATTATGTTATGATGTAAACAATACGTTGATTTTATGAAAATCGTGATTTCTGTTTAAACCAAACCTACTTGATGTTTATGGCATTACACATTATTGTAGGAAAAAAAGGCAAAATGTAAATTATTCATAGACGTCTAGCGTTCGTGATTAATCCTTACATCTAGGTTACACTACCTGTCGACTACGTATCTTTAATAATTTTTAAATCTAGAGACCAAAAAGCGCTACGATATTTTCGGTTCATATCACTGGAAGTTCCTATACGATATTTTGTCATATCTTAGGAAAAGTGCATTTTTGAGAAATGTTTACACATATAATGCATTTTAGATGCTGAGTGGAGTGAAAAAGCTTACGGTTTTACCAAGATGTTTATTTTTTGTTTATCTGTGCGCAACTTTTCTACCAGAAAACTTGCTCGGATTTCTAAGGGTAGCATTTTTTCTGAAAGGAAATCGGTACTTATAGGTACTAAATTATTTAGTTATTTTGCTAAGCTCGTACGCTTTTTTCGTTTACAAACGTGTTCATGGACACAAATTAAAACAAAAAAGCTGCAATATATTTTATTGGAAAAAATTCGCTTTTCATTTAAAATATAAAACAAACCAAAGGACATTATTGTTTTTTTTATTTCAAACGTCGTTTTCAAACAATTTAATTTTGAAAAATCCTTTGTACCCTTCGCCGCCACTAATTAAAAACCAAATGTATTGCGTACAAGACATTTTCGAAATAAATTATAAACACATAATTTATTATTTAGAAAATATATTTGTTTACAGCGCGATTTGTTATCCGTATACAAACACGAACATGATATTATTGTTATTGCGGGCATAATATAATAGTATAAATTATGATTTTTGACTTTATCTTTACCGACATAAAAACCAGTAACCAGTAAGCGTGTGCACAGTAATATTATGATACAATCGAGTGTACGCGATTTAACTATTCCCATTGTGTATTAAATGTCGATGGGACACAAACAATATAAACTGTTACAAAGGGGTACGTCACGGTACAGCTTATGACGAACGATCATCCGCTATCCAACCTCGTGCCCGAAGACGCGCTATCTCCGGAGAAATAGTCTGGCAAATTACATTTCCGAAAGATTTAACAATGAATTCGGAATATGTTGAACATCAGCGAACAATAACGCGTCGGCGCCGTAGACAATATATACGAGTAAAGATTATTATTGTACGTTATACGCGGTTCGGTAAACGAAACAGATGGGCACATAATATTATGTACGACTAGAGAAATAAATCACGTAACGAGTTAAACGCCCGAAAATTTAAATTTCGAGTACTATTCAATTAATTCTACGGATAATATTATAATGGTTGTAGCCGTAATATAGCCGTTTTGTTACGAGAATAACTAAGGATATACGATTTCGTTGTTTTACACTTATTACGGTTCATGTTTTTCGCGAGAAATATTGCTCGAATCGAAAAACGATACGAGACCTTTTTTTTTTTTTTCTGTTATATTTTGGATATAGTTGGTGAACATGAAAGTGGTGTTTTTATTTTCTAACCGGTTTTCATACATAATAATTAGGAAATACTGGAAGAATGAAAAAAAAAATTAGGAAATACGAGAAAGTTTCCGGCATTACAGTGGTTCAGTTTTTTTTTTTTTTTTGTAAATCTGTTTAAAATTATAGTAATGCGGGTTCTTTTTATAAACATTTTTGAAATCGAATTTTTTACAAAATCGAAAAATCACGGCCCCTATTAAAACACGTATAACCGACCACGACTTAGATTCGTTTTTCGTTAACATCAATAGTTTACCGTCGCTTACACGTATATAAATTAAAGAACTTTGCGCGTCCTGCGTTCCCGACTTCCAGCCCGCAACACCCATCAAAGAAGTTTCGGCTCATTACAATTATTAGAGGCCACCATTTCACGTGAATACGTGATAACGTGTGTTCACGTGATATTAAAATTAATTTCTGTGTACCCACGTATTTTAGTATAAACAAGTACACCGAATTTCTAACATATAATACAATTAGTAGACAATAGTTATCGGTAGATTCGACAATGGCAGTGCGTAAGGGCCGGTCATCCTCTAGCTACTTACAACCGTGCATAGGTGATACGGATAATACCCGTGAACACGTGAACAGTGATATGTCGGTAGAGGGGGGGGGCGACAGAGTTTGCCCCACCCCTGTTAAATATGGGTAGATAATTAATCGAACAGATTTGACTGCAGGCCTTAGTAAAAGGGTGAATGAGCGGAAAAAAAAAAAAAAAAGTTGTTAAAAAGGCCATTGCTGTAATTAATTGTAGTAATGCCTCGTCTCCAGAAAAACTGTCCGGGTCCGACGCTGCATTACGCGAATAACACCGAAACGCGTAAACTGCATATTGAAAATTCGCGCGTGTCAATTACGCACGTGAACACGTGGATTTTCCATTGGCGGGTCAATTCGCGTCAAACGCGCGTCAGTTCACGAATCGAGTCGTTCGTTTCGTTTTTCGAAAAGTCCGCGGAACGCTGCGAAACCCCCCCGAGCGTGCGGCTGTACCGAGCGGGAGTGCCGATAACGTACACGCCGCACGCATAATTCGGCACCGGCCCGCGCGACTGCGAAACGCCCGGAGTCGCGCGCGGCGGCACAGTTACGACAACTACGCCGAGAGCGTTCCGGGGACAGAACGAATTAATATTATTATACAAAGTCGCGGGTTTAAATACGAATTTATCGCGGAAAAACGTTTTTACAAGCCCACAAACCGTCGGCGAATGCGGCGCGCCGTCGGGGTGACGGGCGGTTGGCGGTACGGGCTCTCGGGCGGGCGACCGCGGTTCGCGCACAAGAAGAGACCCGGATCGGCGGCGGCGGGAGATTAATCGAGTTGACCTTTAGGTGTGCGCCCGCGCGGGTTCCCCGTCCCCGCGTTTTGACGGTTTAATTAAATCCGTCTTATGAACGCGGTGTATAATAAAACGGCGGCGCGGGCGGAGGAGCCGAAAACGAAATAAATAAAGAACTGTATTATCGCGTACGGCGACGGCGGCGACGGAGGCGACGGAAGTGGCGCGTACGATGATTTTTTTTTTTTTTTCTCCGTCCCGCGTGTTTAATTTAATTTGACATTATCGCGGGCTCGGTTTCCGACGGGCCCGAAGAAAACGCGCGCGCCGCCGCCGCCGCCGCGTATATAATGCGTCACAAACTCGTTGGGGTGTTAAATGAGATAGAGCGAATAATCTCGCGCGCGCAAGAAGTCAAAACGATAATGGAACGCGTACGTATATAATAATAATAATAATAATAATAATATGCGCGCGCGCCCCGTCCGCGGCGACGACGACGACGACGACTACGACGGTCGGGACGAACTCGTGTGTGTGTGTACATTATAATGTACGCTCCGGGAAATTCCCCGGCCGTGGAATTCCGTCCGTACGCGGCGCGCGTTATTGCCGCGACGGGCGATAAAGGGGAATTCGCACGCTGGAGCGCGAACAATACGTAAAATATAATAATATGATTAAACGTCGCGTCGGTTAACAGGGAAAAAAAAAATAATAATAATAATAATAATTTAACGACAAACGTGTCCGTTATTCCTTGTGTGTTATAACGAGACGCCAGGTATAATTTGTCAAAATGTTGAAATATATAATCGTTCGACTCTCAGTGATTGCCCACACAGTGAAGCCTCGCATACGGCGACGAGCGCCTGGTAAAAATGTTGAGGAATGCCTATACGGCACGCGTTCATGACGAGCTCAATGACCAATCGACCTAAGAGTACATTCCAGAATGATATGGGGGGAGGGGTCGATCGCGCCTATCGCCCTGTCGACTCATATCTGCTACATCGATTTCGATTTTAGATTCTGAACGCAGCGAAGAAGATATTGGATTTTTATGATGTAAGTGTATGTTTCGTTCCGTCTGTTAAAAACTTTTCTACTAGAAATCTCGCTCCGTTAGAAAAATGATGAAAGGGCTTTACTGTAGAATTTCGGATCTATTTGGCGCAACGAGCGAATCGCCGTTTAATTGTACGAGCAATTACCATAACAGTTAGGAAAACCCAGTAAAAATGTATAAGAAAAGCTGACAAATTTAAAGTTTTGACGGTGTGTTTTTTAAAATGTTTTAAATTGTATTTTTCCAACAGAAGTCTTACGCCTAAATTCAAGTGAGGCATATTTAAAAGTAATCGTAAAGACCTGAAATTTTCACTGAACATGAAAATGCTGTCCGACTTAAGTGGTCAAATCTTCAAAACACTCTAGATTATTGAACTACATCAGTGGTTTTCAACCGGTGTGCCGCGAGCGCCCTTGAAGTGGGCCGCGATAAGATAAATCTATTAATAGGTTAAAATTTTAAGAAATGACAGTTAACAAATTTTGGATATATGCTCAAGCAGAATTTCCTGAAATATCTATAAAAGCCATAACAATTTTACTACCATTCTCCACATCATATCTATGCGAACAAGGATTCTCAGCAGTCACAACAATGAAAAGTGAAAAAAGAGAACGACTTAGATCCGTAGAAGAAGAACTGAGAGTTAGCTTGTCGACTGTTCGTTCTAGAATAAAACGTTTGTGCTCCACACGTCAAGCACAACAATCTCATTAATCGGTAAATGTATATTTCGTGTACAACATTATTATCTTTTAAAAATAAATATTTCTGCTAGCACATTTTTTCATCATTGTATTAATTTATTTCATAATAATTAACCCTCTAATACAGTAGATTGTAAACAGTGTATCTAAATATGTATATATGTGCATATATATTATATAAAAAAAATATATGCTTCACGTATTATATGAATTGGTGTGCCGCGAAAATTTCGTAGGAGAATAAGTGTGCTACATTGTTAAAAAGGTTGAAAACCACTGAACTATACATAGGCATTTGGAATTTTTTCGGTTTTTATTTGATTCTATGCACATAAAAAGATTTTGGCCAATAATTTAATATTTTACACGTGGTTCATATAAATTGTACTCAGTGAGTCCGGTTCCGCGAAGGAAAAAGAGGAAGGACAGTACGAGCCTCCAAGCTGTCGGGTTCTCGAACCGAGCAGGAAGACTAGGACTTGGCCAACTACAGTAGTGTTAAGTTAGTTAAATTAGACAGGATTACTTTACTCCGTTGTACATTTTGTTAGTTACCTATAGGTGTTGTCCTGTTCCATTTATGGGAAACAGAATTTAAAATAAGTATATTAACTGTAATTTTTCAACAAAAAGATGTCAGCAGTGGGAACGTATTGTGAAAACAGACCCCTCACTGATGTCGGTTCAAACATGAAAAAAATAGTTGTATTTATGGTTAAAAAAAATGTTTTTAAGTTTTTAAATGTGCGTTTAAAGTTCAAATTAAAATGAAAATCCTAAAAATCACGTCTTTCACGTAGGTACTATTTTTCGGTTTAAATAAATATAATTTTTTGACTAACCTAAATGTTTGAAAATTTAACACGAGGTTTATCATATGTTTAGGAGGTATATATGTTATATTATTATAAAAGAGGTATGTTGAAAAAACAATTGAACAACGTGTAGTCATTTATTGTTTTAAACATTTTATGTTCAAATGTTGATGGCATTTCAAAATGGGTACATTTAACCGAACTATTCGTTCAGAATCGTGTGTTTCGTCAGCAACTATTATTCGTCGTCGCGTACAGTTATACATTAAATAACTTTATGTGTCTTACATATCGAACTTGCCACCTACAACAGTGGCCCACCCATCAGGAGTATCGACTCTTTTTTATTTCGGTCTCCTTTCGATGGCTAACACGCCTACATCACTATCACGAAATTGCATACGATATCCGCTTTCCTGTAGCTATTAAAATAATTTGTTTTAGCATTTCAGGAAAATATTTACTGTTACTAAAACGCACAAAACAAAACTCGAAACGCTAAAACATTAAACGCTATGGTGTGAATCCCCCCCCCCACTATAACTTGACAGTCACCATCTCCTTGTTCAAGCACAATATATTTATATATATATATATATATATATATACATGATAATACCGTCTTTGTCGAACACTATAAACGAAAACTTCTGGACGTGGCGATGGTCGTCAACGAGATAGAGACTCGCCTGTGACAATGTCGCAAGAGCTTCCGACCAAGCGTGAAACTTAGGTACCACCTTCCCACGCGCGGTTCAACTATACTAGGATTACATAAAATAATGAATAAACGTTTTTTAATCAAAAACTATTTCAATAGAACATATTATTATGTTTTCGAATGCATAATTCGATTTCCGAATGGCTTTGAACATATAAAAGTACTAGCAGTGGCGTATTTAAGATTTCGCCAAAAATTGAATTTTGTTAAGTATTTAGATTGTATATTATGTATAGGCAAGGGTGTAATACGATAGAGACACCTATGCTAAACAAAAAATAACAAAATCAAAAAACGACCACTTTCAAGTACCACCCCAGGAAAATTCCATTTCAGAAAAGGTGCTTGATACTTCGGAACAAGATTTCTGGTAAAATTATTGTACACTGCAGTATAAAAAAAAAAAAAAATTAAAATAAACATCTTTTTAAAACCGTGAAAAAAATCGTGAAGATAGATGGTCAAAAAAAAAAAACCTGTATTTATACAATGAATATTATTAATTAATAAATATTAATGTTAACATCTATTCTAACTTCTATGTTTAAGTAATAATTTCTAACTACATTCTACGAAATAATATAACAGTGTTTTATCTCCGTTGTTCCGTATTATAATATTATAATTAGACATATAACTCATAATTACGAAAAATATATGTCCTCTCTCTTATTTTCACTACTTAGCCGAAATACGAAGTCGTCATCTTCCAGCTCGAACTTTAAACCCGAGTTTTTTAACACGCCATCATCTCATGTACGAACACGAAAAATCCATTAATACATTTTCTTGGTCTGCGCCATTCATGTTTATTCACTCAATCGTCTCCGTGCATTTTTCTTCGCGAGCAAAATATAATAGGGCCACATAAAATACGTATCTGTCCAAATCCAAAAATATTTTCCTACTTATATTTTCCCGAATATAATTCGAATATGAAGTTTTTTTGGAGGGTATACAGTGTATACTATACACTGTATGGCGACGAATACCTACCCATTTATCATTTAGTAAAAATAGTATAAATACGCACGTACGCGATCGTGTATATTAAAATTTAAAAAAAAAAATTGTGCGTGTAATCTGTACATTTAAAAACTATAGGCACTACTGTATATTCTGTATAATTATATATTATACGACATTTATCAATTATCAATAAGTAATATGTTAAATGTGTAATAAATAATTAAAATTGGTTATTATTTATTATGACGTATCGTCGTAATATTGTTTTGTGAGTTTACCGCAACTGTCACAGAGTAATAGGTACAGCTACTATTGTAAACCTTGGTGAATTATTAAATGATATCTGACCTGTGAAATAATTTTTAATACTTAGATCAAGAACGTAAATCATGCTTAAATAAAAATGTACAAAACTGAGTAGCAAAAAAACTAGTTTTGTAAAGTTTGCGAATTTCTGAATATACTATATAAAAAGCTGTCCTAGGAAAATGAGGATGGGTGCAGTCACTGTTGTAGGTGAGACGTTGGAAAAGTAGCAGAGAGGAAATTTAATATACATCTGTAAGCAACGATAAACCATTGATAACGAAAAAACGAATCTGAACGGTGTTCGGTCGATAGTGTTGCTTTGTTATATTATGTTATGTTAAAATAATTACATATTAAACATTATAATATATTTTCTTTAATAATATTCATTTAATATTGTACCTATTTTCCCGTTTTTTCGATTTTTTGGGAAAACAAAAAATCTCCTCCCTATAAAATACCTCCTCACTACATTAGTACCTACCTAGTATTAACAATAGTTTATCGTTGCTTACAAATATACATTAAATTCCCTTCTGTATCTCTACCATCCCAACTTCCCATTCTGTGTAGTGTATTTTGTAAGAAAATATTTATGTAATGTTTATAATGTTTAAAACGTTTGCACAATTTAACAATTAATTTTTTCCATAGTATGTTGTTCTAAAATAATTTACTACAATATCTATTGAATACTTTATACTTATTAGTGCGACAACTAAATATATATGTATTATTTTACATTTGTATAATTTATAAACGATTTTAAATTAAAATTTAATAAAATATAAACTCATCAGGGGCAATAATATTATCGGTTTTAAGCAAATTGAAGTACTGTGAATTTAAATAATACTAAACGTATTGTTCTACTTGGGCGAGTGATGTATCGTAATAAAACACGATTTATATTCGAAAATTTTCTCGCAGACAATTTTCCCCGGAAGTTCACGCTGAAAAAAAAACCATGGCTAGCGGTCCGTGATGGTGATGGCAACAGCTGTAAACACGAAACCACTGCTCGCCCCATCCCGGAAAACTTTAATCAAATCGTCTTTATCGTGTTGTCCCTTGTACACGCATGGGATGAAAGAAGTGTAGCGCGGTCCCTTTTCTCTATATTATAGTTGTATGTATGCATGTATACAACTACTTTTTATTCCGTTTATTCCAGTTTTCCCCCCGATATAATTTGGTTTTGATATGAATTTGATAACATTATACACCCGGTTCTTGTAAGTCAATTTCGCTCGGGCTTCCTTTGGGGTCGAGCCGTATACGAATTTCGACGGCAACGACAAACCCGGCCGGGGTGAATAATAATAACACGTTTAATTCTAGTGGCCGTAATTGCATCGATTCGGAAACCTCCCTTATCGCGCATCACTCAAAAACGATAAATTTCCAGTTTATCGTCCGCACAAAACCCTTATTTGTACATTTATGTGTTCGTAGCGTTTACTATAATACATATAATAAAATGTAGTGTCTCTGAAGGAGTAATGTTTTGAATTAACATTAAAATCGAAAATCCACCGCACACGCATTTATAAAACACATTATACCAACAGCTAGACAACTAGATAAAAAAAAATTGTCTACGGACTACCCCAACTATTTAACGTATTATTCGTCATAGAAAAATAATATCAATAACAACTATTTATAGAGTAGCAATACGCCAATACGTATACTGTGCAACCTATATTGTTATACAAATATATATATATATCTATATTGTACACACACTTGCGTGTTATATTACACCTACTTACCTGTATGGCTACCTCCGCTATTTTATTTTATTAACATTTTTTTTTTTTATCCGAAAACTGATTAATAAGTAAACGGTTTTATTCATTTTTCTTTTCGAACAAACAGCAATGGCGGAAATGTGTTGGCACAACTACTCCACTGCATTGCTACCGTTCGTTAAGTAACGATAATACGATATAACGAGATAACCTAACGAACAGTGAAATACGAACGAGTTAGGATGAACAGGCAAGCCTCCCACTACATCCTCTCACATTAACGCTAAACTAACTAGCCTGTCGCGCATAAGACCTAATCTTCCGGATCCAGTTCGACGGCCAGCCAGATCTGTCGAGTCCCATGTAGATCCATTTCCTTGCACGCCGCTCTGCTGGACACTGGTCTTCTTCCCGATCCGGATCGCCCGTCCCATTAAATAAGCATACAATTACCACAGCACAGATGTAACATTTTTGATTCGGAGCATAGCGAGGGATCTGTTGGTTTTTCTATGACGTGTTTTAGATTCTGAATGAAGCGAAGAAATTTAAGGTAGGAACAGACAAATTGACTATTGTCAATATAAAAGACTATTGTCACGTCACGCGAACTCACGTTCTATCATATGCGATCACCTCACGGGAAAAAAGTGTGGGATCTGGATTTGTATAGTATTTTAATGTGTCAGCGCCACACTAATGACACCTAACGCGTGTCACGTCACATTTTGATTTTCTAACATCACACACATTTTTCGACTTTCGTGACCTCACGAATTTTGTTTTTGCCTATTTTGTCCAGAAAAATATTAAGCTACTTCATTAAAATGTACACTAATGGATAAAATATATGTGAAACCGTCTTGGTTCGTTTCGTAATTCATAAACTCAACGGTAAAATTCGCTCAATTTTTCCCTTTTTTCATTGGTTTCGTGTAGCCAGTTTGATCGGGTGGTTTTTTAAATTTGTTTCATCTTAGACCGCAAAAACAGCTGCAGTTTCCAGTTCTTCATCCCACTTTGAACTACTAAAAGTCTTTCTGTCCATTTTAAATTTAAATTTAGAAAAAAAACCGTATGTGAACACAGTTCGTAAACAAAACAGTAACTACCGAGTAACTGTGATGTAATAAAGCATGACAACTTGATAATGTGACAATAGTTTGTTTCTAAGCGTGACATCACGGTTCAAATGTACCAACGGGATACAGCACATGAGCTCACGTAAGGTGACAATAGTATGTTCCTACTTTTATGGTTTACAATGATGTTTTTGTTTTTTTTTTCAAGTGTTGCACTTTTTCTGAAAGGAAATGTTACTGGGATGGTACTTTAGGGAAGTCATTTTTTTAATTTTCTCAATATAATATATTGGAAAAACCGGAAAACGGAAAAATTTACGAAATATATAGGTATTAATTCAAAAATATTACGGTCTTTTTTTTCCTATGAACAATTTCTTGTTAGCCTATTTCTTCTACTACCAATTTTTTTCCAATTTACAATGATAACACTTTTTCTAAAAGGAAAATACGAACGGGAAAATAGGTACAATATTAAACATATATTATAAATGAGAATGTTTGATGCATATGTAATTATTTTACCATAATATGGCATATATATATTGTTGAAAAAGCAACATTTACAACTGAACTCCGCTCCGAATAATTTTTCGATAACAATGGTTAATTGTTGCTTACAGATATACATTAAATTTCCGTCTGAATCCTCTCTTCTCATCTTCCTACCTACAACAGTGGCAACACTATTACCCAGTATCAGCTCTTTTTTTTATTTTAATATTAATTCCTGTATTTTGGTATCTTACAAATTTGGAATTTAGTACAACAAATTTAAAAAGTAATTAATTTTAAAAATTCGAAGAGTTTAAAACATTTTAAATTGTATACTTTGTATACTATAGGTACATAGGCCATCAGACATAAGTACGAATATTATATACAATAATAAAATCGTTATTGATTTTCACCTATAGTTTTATTTAACAACTTTACTTATTGTGTTTTTACGTACATTGTATCTATAAACTATTTTGTTATAAATAAAACCATACATCACATTTTCGGATAATTGTATTGTATAGGAATAATTGATTTAGGAAATAAAAACGTCGACAACTCTAAAAATAAATGATTATCCAACGAGGGAAATAGTTATTTCAGATAAAGGCTCCTACAGATGGTTATCCAATGAGAAAAAAAAGTTATTTCCAAACAAAAGACTTAGTTGGATTCAAGTTAATTTGCCGTCCTAAAAGATTTCAAATATATATACGAGTTCAAAACCACTCAATCCCACCGCTCCCCATCACGATATCTCTACAGTTCCAAGTACATGAAAACGGTGGCTTCCAGAACAAATAATTACAAGAGAAAAGAATAGTTTTCTACCAGCCCTGGAAAACTTTTCACTTATCGCGAAAACTTTTTTTTTTTTAAGACCCTTCCACTTAATAAGTTCTCAACCGAGCAGTTATAATACTGCTTGCATTCGGTTTTTACGTGGTTACAATTTCCGTTTATTATTGCCGTAACAAACAGAAAAAAAAAACTGTCCCCGATATAATAATTCATACTTAGGTCTACTTCTCGTTGTTGGGACTTACGTAACGGTGGTTCATAACAAATTATAATTGTCACGTCTAATTTTCTTTAAAACTTCACTTATTTTTCTTTTTTCATTTCCATCATTGCTCGTATAATACACATTAAGAAATCTCCGATAAGAAATCATTAAAATCTTGGCACAATAAAATCACGTAATCTTTAAAATGTCTATTTTAGTAGTGGTGCTACAATATACATTAGGTAGGTGTTATTTTAACCATACGCAGGAGAGCTGAAGAGGCTCAATACCTCCCAATTGGTCGGGTTAAAATACAAAAAACTCACATAAACTATTCATATAGATAATATAGGTTCACTTGTTTAGTGTTGCCCATTATTTTTTCGAAAAAAGAAACAATAATAATAATAATAATAGGCGACGATAAATTTAGACATAGGTAGATGATCTGCTAATTTGCTTGTATTATATTGTATACATAATTGTCATTTACCATATGTTTAGCTCACCACTCCCCTCAATTAAAACGTCACGTGCAAACGCTATACTGTTTAGACATATGTATCAGTGTGATTATCAAACATTGGCTTTAATCATACAATTATTGACCCTATAATGTTATAAAACAAGACATATCTAAGATAAACTACATAGTTTGACGCCACTTGACTGTCTCCACAGACATGTTTATACAATAATATTATTCTATGTGTTCCCATACAAAAAAAATTACATATACGAGTCAATAAAATATAATCAATGTATTTTAAATAGGCAAAAATATTTTCGCTTAGTTTAAATTATCATGTGCTTGTGCATATACAATACAAAAAAGGCACCGGCCTAAATATGTGAGATTTTTTTTTTTTTAATAATATTATTTGCGTAGGTAGAAAACACGCGAATTATAATATTCCACTCTACATTAACCGATCGAAATCATTTACCAAAAACAATTGGTACCATGGGCAGTACAATATATAATAATGTAACTATACATCGAGCTTTAATAAATAGGAAAAAGGGCGTAATCGACTTGTCGACAATTGTTCGCTTACAGATTTTTTTCGTTATAACGCTGATTTTTTTTCTGAATTGTTTGATATAATAAAAAAAATCATATTGGTAAAAGAAAAATGTCGATTCCGCCTATTATTTTACTTATTAACACTCGATAAATTGTAATCTGTGTTATTTGTTTCATTTTTTCAATGAAATAGGAAAAATTATGAATTTTACTTTTTTTATCTAAAATATGCACAAAATATACAATAATAATTTACGCATTACCCCCATACAATACAAGTTATCTTGTAAATAATACTATTAAAGTAATTGGGCATGGTCCGTTTGTTTTAATAAATAAATACTGAAACATAATACGGTGCAATAATATCGTATCTATAGGTATAATTTGACGTACAAATAGTAAAGGGTAAATAAATATAGTAAATAAATAGGTATATAAATAAAAAATGTGTACATTAAATACCCAAAATAACATTTACATTAATTCAGTTTTAGAAGATATATATAAACAATGAAATAAAGAAAAATAATTTTAATAATATTTTAAATGTTCAAACCGATTTCAAAAATAATACACAATATCAATACATTTTAGATAATAAATAATAACCAAATAATTTATATTTCTTAACATATCTATATCTAATATTAACTAATTCTAAATATTCCCCCCTATTAAAATAAATTATTCCTATATTCTATGTAAAACGAACAATTTGTATATTTTTTTTTTCTCTGTATATTCTTTCGTTCAGTTTTTATATTCAGTCGCGTTTTACATTTTAACTGTGATATACCCGATGATGAATTTTTAATTCAAAACCGGTCGTATAGCACCCAAACTTATCATAATACTCCAGGCGACGCATTCATTCATTGATTTATTCATTTTATATATACATTTTTTATTTATATACTTATTCACTTTATTTATTTACGAGTATTAACCATTTTAATAATTTTATTTTTACTTTATTATTTTATTATTGTGTATATAGTACAACACAATAGGTATAACGTTTAAGAAGACAGACATATATCGTAACATGGTTGGAATACTGTTGTAGGTGGGAAGTTTGGAAATTAGGTAGATATAGAAAATAGTTATACCTACTGTAAGCAACGACATATAGTAAACGATAAACGATTTTGATCTAAGTTCGCTAAACTGACTTTGTTACACTATATTAGTCGTGTTTTCACCTTAACCAGTGTTGTTTATATAAAATACCTATGGGATGTACACTCATTTATGAAATTAATCAACAAATATTTTGATTTTATAAAGACAAAATTCATCAGATTCAAACATTCCAAAGCCGAACGCTTCGCTCGTGAAAAACTATTTTGCGTACCTCTTATATAGTAGGCACTATTAATTAAATATACCTAAGTATACTTAAGTACCTACCTATATTTCAATAATTAATACCTACATTAACAAATTCGCAGACTTTACAAAAATAATTATTTCGTTACAGTTTTGTAAATTTGTATTTGTATACCTACATTATGTTATCTAATAAATAATTACCTTTACAATATATAGATTGCTAAATTTGTAAATCTCATGCCATGTACAGGCTACACGCATATTTTTATTTAAATTTTATGATATAGGTACGATGCGTATTTACTATTTGTACCTACTATTAGATTCTAAATGGAGTGAATTCAATGATGTTTATTTATGTTTTTTTTTTTTTTCAGCAATGAACAACTGTTCTACCAGTAATTTTACTCTGATTTACAATGATAGTACTTTTTCTAAAAATAAATCAGACTGTGGTAGTACCTACTTTAGAAAGGTATATGCATATGTAGGTAATTGTTTTACCACTGTATGACATATATATTGAATAGAAAGCAACGCTATCAACTGAACTCCGCTTAGAATCGTTTTTTCATTAGCAATGGTTAATCATTACTTACAGATATAGGTCAAAAGTGCATTAAATTCTCCGGTATTCGTCAATTGCGCCTGTACAAAAAAGACATACATCAATTGCGCATTATTCGAATGTGAAAAATTGTTATATGTCATTTGCGCCGATCAATAATCTGCGTTGTAATCTAATATATCTAAGAATAATTCTATGTAGGATTTATCATACAATATTGATTTTAAAACGTTTACGTGGTTTTACCTTGGAAAACCACTAGTTTTTTATTAATATTATTCGATTATTTAAAGATAAACAACATTTGGACAAATATTATCCGTTTAGCATATAAATCCGTAATATAATTGTCTTTCAGATCTAGTGATCTACCTATTGGTTTAACTATGTGTTTTTTTGTCAGAAATCGAAAAAATGACAAGAGACCTTTTTTGTTACATTTTGGATATTGTTTGCGAGTAATAAAATACTTTTTGAATTTCATGTAATTTTCTTATTAAACGAACAAAACCAGAAAAAAAAACGTGGGCAATTGTATTGCTGTCCATAGGCATTTTATGTTTGCAAGTTTTTTACAATTAAATATTATGTGGATATAATTGTTTGACCAAACAGAAATGATTGAAAGAGTTAGGTTATTTTTTAAATCATGAATAAAAAACCTGTCAATATCGTTTTTTAATAGCAACGAGTTCAACATACAAATTCTGGGAAGGTAAAAATAGTTGACACAGCACATTTTTTTAAAACTCATTTCCCAATTGAAATTGCTTCATTATTATCATTTTTAGCAAAATGTAGACTGCATAAAAATGAATTACTAGAAGGTTGGAAATTATATAGTCAGTCAAACAGCATGTATCCATTTTTTTAACCTTTCATTATCATTGAGTGAAAACCTTAAACCATAAAAATACTAAGTAAAATTATTTACATAGGTAGGTATCATATAAACTAAATTAATAGTACAATAAATACAATTACGAAATAATCAATCACAATTAACATTAATTCCTTTTTTACATCTCTTATATTAGTGCAATTAAAGGCACTGGAAAAATTAACCATTATTGTACCAAAAGAATTAACAATGAAAGAAATTACTATAAATTTGAAAACAAACAATTCTTAAGAGCTGAAATTGACGATCGGTAAACATTGAAAAATGAATACGATACAGTGTATTAGGTATAGAGACAAAGATAGAAATATCTTAAGTATTCACTATCTCTTTTTAACAGGCTCCCTCGGTTTTATTTACATTAGTCATTGGGACGGTGAGCATTCCAGTTATCTTATAGTTCAATGATACAGAGTAGACTGTCTAGACTTTATATATATTTTACCCTTGCTATATTATATTATAAAATCAGAAACCTTTTACCATACATATTACAAAAACATCATAGTATAAGATTTTCAACTTATAATTGTTGTAACCAATTGTTTTTTTAGTTTCAATAAAAAAAAATCAATCATAATCTATTGTTTCTAAAGTATCTCCATCCCTACCTAGGACATATTGTAATTTATCATGCTAATCATACAATATATTAATAACAATTTGTTATTAATCAATTAATTCTATATTAGACAAAACTGTAAAATATATATAAAATATTTAACAGTGTAAACCTGTATAATATACCATTCTCTGTATAACATTTTTAACTATTGTTTTGAACTAACACAAATATCATGTTTAATAAAAATTAATTTTTTATCTTCAGACAACTCCCGCAAATATATTCAATTTTTTTTTTTATCAAAAAAAGATAAAATGACACCCATTATTTATAATGAAATTTCATAAATACTATAATCAGTGTAAACAACATACTAATAAACACATCAAATTGAAATGTGAATATTATGATTTTGTATAATTGGATACATATTAAATTAATATTGTTTTTCTTATTTGAGTTGATAGAATTTAAACTCCAGTTATAATAAACCTGTTTTAAATTAAAGACAGAATTATTTCACAGCGTTTAATTATATAAAAAAATACTTAAAAAATAATTTTACAATAATTATCACCAAAATAAATTGAATAAGAATAGTTTGTCAATTTAAATGTTGACTAATCATAATTATTAATAAACAAAAAACAAATCTGAAATAGAGTAAATAATAGATAGTTATATCCACAGGGATTTTAAAATATCTATTTTTGTATGAAGCACTTAAATATGCCACTAAATAATAAATAATAATGAGCACTTAATTTTGAGAAAGGATGCACTATTAATTAAATAATTAATCAGTAAAATATTATTATTTTTTTTTTACAAATATATAGATTTTTGAATTCAATTAGAAAGGCCTATATGTAAAAAAAAAAAAAAACAAAAATATATAATATTATGTTTTTCATAATTTGATCAGATTATTAATGTTCACAAAGTATGATAGGTACCACCGCGGCCCAGGTAGAAGAATCTGTATCCAACAAATCCAACTGCTACAATTCCAAAAGCTAAAACCATGCCACCTATAGTGTGAACATAAATTTATTACTAATAGTTCTTTTATGAATTATTTAATTATTATTAAGTTGATCAACTACAAACTTACTAAGGAAACTTGTACCATCCCAGGACTTGGCTTTACTTGGCGTTTCTGTAGTTGTAGAAACACTTGGAGTTGGAGTTGTTGTATTAGGTGCTGGTGTTGGTGGAATAGTTGGTTTTGGTGTTGGTGTTGTTGATGGAGGAGTTGGTTTTGGTGTTGATGGAGGAGTTGGTGTTGGTGGAGGAGTTGGTTTTGGTGTTGGTGGATCAGTTGGTTTTGGTGATGGACTAACTGATGTTGGTAATTTTGTTGTTGAAGTTACATTAGATTCTGGTATTGTAGAAATAATAGGTGATGTTAGGTTTTTATATGAATTTGTGGGCAATGTTGATTCTGTTGTTACATTAATTTCATTTTTCGGTGAATCTAAAAAATTTAATTATTATCAACAAATTTGAATACCTAGTTACTAAAATAATCATTATTTCTAATAATTAACAATATTATTGTTAAAAAAATAAAATGTATTTTGCCCTAAAACAAAAATAATTTAAATTGAAATAATATATTTATTTTCTTTCTTTGTTTAGCTTGTATTATATCCAGCCACCAAAAAAAATAATAATAATACAATATTTTAATATCATAATGTTCCCTAACTGCGCGCTGATAATACAATTAACCTGGTTATTTTGATAACCAATTGATTTTTTGCAGCCACAAACAAACACCAACCAAATCCTTAATTTACAAGGCTATGTCGCTATTGCTAACACCACAAGTGCCTATGTAATAGCACATTAAGAAGTACTCTATCTGTGTTGCAACATCCCTTTATTTTGATAACTTTACCCACTAATTTTCTATACCTAAATTAATTAAAAACCAAAATAACCAAAAGTTAAGTTAAAACTTATTATATTCTATATTTATGTTTTTAAAAATATCAGTCTCCACTCAAATCAAGTTCTTGTTCTGTGAAATCTTAGTAATTCTATAATAAATATCAAAAAAGTAGTTATCTCACAATTAAACTGTTTTTCATAAAAATGTTAGGTTTATATTATGATTAAACAAAGAAATGCTTAAAAATAATGACACAAGACTGCTTATACATTTATTTTATAGTGAATTTGAATATTTTGGATTTGATAAATTGTTATTTTATTTTTGGAATATATAAAACATATTTAGACAACAAAGTTTATTCTTAAACATATTTTAACTTACAGTTATGTTTCTCCATAACCTTTATAGTTATCAAAATGGTTTTTTGGACATGAACAAATAATAAAATAAAATAATGATAATTTAAAAATTGAATAATTATATTTAAAAAACATGTATACAGTAATATCTACTATGTGAATTGTGTATGCATAATTATTTTTTTCCAGTATTTTATACCACATTGAATTAAATAATTTATTGTAAAACATCTAAAATCAAATTTAAAAAAGGCTTACTAAACAAACATTAACAACTAATTTATACATACAAATGTGATAAACAATTTCCACCTATTTTTGCCTTATCTACTAAATAAATAAAATCTAAATCAATACTAAATCAATCAATCACTAGTTTTAGTTATGGATAATTCAATAAAATATTTGATTGTCTGCACCATTTTTCAAACAAATTTTCAAAGTTTGATAGTGACCAAATATTTAATTGTGTGAACCAGGCTTAATGCTTAATATTAATTTTTGAATACAATGGCCAATATTAATTAAAAATTCTTCCACTAATATTTTTATCGGCCAATCTACAGCATAATTTTCATTAACATTCAGTCCAGTGTTGCCAAATTTTTTTGGAAACCATTTTCAGGGGTTGATTCTTGACAGATCATGATTAATTATACATGGAAAAATATTACAAATCCCCCCCCCCCTTGATCTAAAAATCACTCCTTATATTTTGATACAAATAACTAAGAGATTAAACAAGGACTGGATTTTGTATGCATTATCTGCCAATGATTTTATATTTAAAATGTTGATTAGGTATTTTCTTGGGTATTAAATAATATTACAATTAAATTATAATGTTAATTTTGTTATTTATTACCTTACCGTCTGATACAGATAACAGAAATATTGGTCATTCTATTCAAAAAATAAATAAATATTAATAAAATAATCTTCTGAATTATTTTGATTTATAACATTTATTGTATAAAAACAATTTAAGTGGACTTAAATCGAAAAATATATAATGCAATTTAAAACTATGGATGGATTTTTCAAATTATTACAAAGTTAATGGTCCATGATCACATGAAACATATATTATAGTATATTGTATTATTTACTTCTAGAGATTATTTTATTAAATTCTTAAAAACATGTCAAATTTTTCTTTAAGTCCAAATTTCAAGTAATATATATTTATGATAGTTAATATCTTATACATACAATAAATATTTGACACATTATTATGTTTTTTTTTTTTTTATAGAAGTCTTTATTTTATGAAACACGCAATACATAAAGAAAAAAGAATGACCTATGTATTATATATACATTGTACCTACATGGCTACACTAAATTTTTAACGATAGGTAAGGAACCAGTAAAATAAACAATTTAAAATCTAAATTATATTTTTAATGCAAAATGATTTTTTTTTATGAACTGTAAAGAAATCTTATAATTTTAGTGTAAACTAGAAAAAAAATATGAAAAATCATACAAATCTGACCTCTACTTTTTACTTATATTACATAAAATACCAATTTTTATTTATTCAATAATATAAACTTTACATTTATTTTTTAATCTTTAAAAAAGTTGATTTTACATTTTGTTGAAAAACAATTTTAAAATGTATATTATTGAATATATAAAAATAAGTATTCAAGTATGAAAAGTAACAAATAGAGATCAGATTTGTAAGATTTTACATATTTTTGCCTAGTCTATGCAATTAAATCATATCTTCACAATTCGTAAAAAAAAAATTTGTATTAAAAAACATAGATATTTAGGGATATTCAATATTTTATTAAATGTAAATTAATATTACATTGTTTGTAAATATTTTATACACTTCCACGTAATAAGGAAATAAAGTAAAAATTAAAAATTGATCATAAAAGAAAAAGTGGTATTGTCTACTCAAGAAAAAAATTTGAAATTATTGTAACAAAGAACAATGGAATATAATATAATTTATCAGCTTGTAAGTTAAAATTATTAAAACCACAGAATATTCTGATGAATCGATAAGTATTCAAATTGTATAAAAAGGATAAACAATACATTAAATTTGGTATTGCTGTACAAAAAAAAAATAGAGATTAAAAAAACGATCTACAACGTGATGTAAACATTTTGGAAACTCAGTAACATAATAATGAGGAATAAACAATTTATTGTTACATAATAATACAGAGATTTACTACTACAAAATAAATTTTTTATACAATCAATCAAGGTTGGTTGTGATAAGTTGTAATGGGAAATATCGGTTTTATTCCTCCATATAAAACAAAAATAAAACACTTAATCAGCAGCTAGGATAGTCAATCAGAACCATTGTGGCCTTATTTGTCGACCTTGAACATACTGCAAGTGTATGGTGGGAGCGAGAGAGATAAATAAATAATGAAAAACACAGGAAAAAAAACAAAACATTGAAAACGACATGAAAGCCGCTTTTGGACACACTAAATCGATACCGAACAAATTATCGACTATTCAACGAGCACACCCACACAAATGCGATAATTTAATGACACGACATTTGATATTTTGAACTCCGCAACCAAAGTCCTATCGGTTTGGAGAGTGATGGGAGGTGGACAATATTGAACCTTATTAAATGTACATCACGAACGAATCTATTGCGGACGATACCGAACGCATAGGTAACGACTAACGGTGTAAGCATGCACAATGGCAATTCTCCGTTAGATGGGTGCCCGTAAGAAACTTCTAGAGGCATAACAATGTTTAACGAAACCCCGATTATTTTTTTAACCTGCGGGAAAACAAATGCATACTATCCGTTCCAACGTCGGTCGCCATTTTTCGATGACGACGGAGAAACGGTCGGAAACACGAAACGTATGCGACAATCCATGACCTTGAATACGAATTATCCATATTCTTTATTATTAATATCGTTGTGATGGAATACTTACCGGGTATTGGTTCGCTATATTTGAACGTTTCGTTTAACGTAGAATTGACGGACGCTACACAAGCGACTACCACGACGAAGAACGCCAAATTCATTTTGAATGAAACCATTGTGATGAATAATCAGCGAACGCGTGTCAAGTCGATGAACAGGAAAAACTAGACAAGAGACGAGGTAAAAATAACAGTTAAATGAGTTGACGGTAACAAAGGCGAGTGTAAGTAGTCAGTAGTCACCGATAGCACACAATAAAGTCGACTGCGAAATCGCCAGAGTAGAGACGCGACGGGAGACAAGAAATCAAATGACACACGTACCACGCAGTAGCGTTGTTGATTATTAGGAGTTACGACTACAACAAAATACAAAATGAGACGTCGATCGTCGAGTGCGTGCGTGTGTGTGTGTAATTGTTTATATGTATAAACTTACTGTAAATAGAAATAAAGACCTCTGGACAGCGTTAGTGTTCGATGCACGGCCTCGTTTATGTGCGGATTGAACGAGGAAATAACGAATCAGCTGTGCTGGTCTTTCGCCATACACCGCTGCAGCAGCACATGACAATACGACATGACGGCCGTGGAAGTTACGAATGTTACCATGGAAGAGAAAAAACTATAGAGCTATGGAATAAACATGACAGACATTCGTACTTCATCGGCGGGAATGTCAGTTGTCGTTAATAACAATAATAGAAATTAAATTATTATTTTATTATTATTATATTTATATGTTCTGCTGATCGTTCCTCGAACAAGTTATTTTTTATTCGAATCCAGAAATGTTACTAATTTCTTATGTACTGTGACTGAGTAATGGTCAGGCAGTCGGTACTCAGTCCACTCGATGGTTAATGTATTCGACGTACTATCGAGATTTTCGCAAACTTTTCTTCCGAAAATTGATAACGTAATTGATAACGAAAAGTAAACAAATGATTCGCATCCGGTGGTCATCAAATTTCATCCGCATGACCGCATCCGGCGATACCCACCTAGTAGAACGCTTGAAAATATCGATTTTCTCGTTGCAGGATACCTCGTCGTTGCTTTGTTTTTGTTATTGTTTTTGTGTCTGCATCGACCATTGGAATTTTGAACCCATCAAGATGACCGAAGAAGTACAGAGTGATGAGGTTTTCAAAAAACTAGACGCGTTAAAAGACATCAGGTAAGTCTATTAACCCGTCTTCAATCGGCTGAGTCCGTAACGAACTCACAACTCATAGCAGTTAGGTCCTGATGGGTCTCGGTAGTCAATACACGAAATCGCCGCTTTAAATTTCTCCTTCGTCTCCATGCAAATGTAAATGTATGTAACGAACGATTTAAAAAAAAAATATACGTGTCTTCACTCACCTTTGAAGTCTAATTTTCTTTCTGTTTTTTGCCCAAAAACTAACCGAAGTTAAATTGTGAATATTATGTACCTCACTTTTCTTTATCTATTTGCATGATTGCCTAATGTCTAATTCCATAAACATATTTTATATTCTGATCGAAGTGAGAAATGAATTGGTTTTACAATTATTTTTTTAGAAGGTTAGGTTTGGTACTTTAAGAGACTTATTTTTTGAATTTTCAAAATAAATACTGAAAAATTACGAAAATAATGCTTTTTTTATATTATATTTTGGTTTTTTTGTTGTAATTCAGTTATATATGTTCATAGAGACTTTAAATTTGGACTAAAACCTTATATTTACCTTTTATAGATGTGGTAAAATTTTCAAAACAATTGAGTCATTTTTAAACTATAGATATTTTAATTCTGTGAGTTTTTACGTAATATTTGTTCTGTAGGATTTATGTGGAGGTTCATTATAAGTTGTACTTAATGATTAACAAGATAAAGTTGAGTTTATTGTCATTTTTTTTTATAAGAATTTTAAATCGTAAATATTACAACCTTTTAAAACATGGATTACTGAACACTACTCAGATTGTTTTTTTTTTAGCAATAATTAATCATTGCATACAAAAATACATTCAATTTTCTTCTTCATCTCGCCTTTCTAACTTATCGCCTACAACAATGACCCACCTATCGTGTGAAGTATGTCTGTATTTTTAAATATCAATTTTTCATATGTAAAATATTTTAGGCAAATTTTTTATACTTTACATGTTTTTGGTTATTTATTATTATCAATTACATACTTTTATTTTGTTTTTTAAAATGTGTATTATTCACTTAACTCGAAAATGTTTGGAAAACTTGCCACTCTTTTTTTATTTAGGAAGTTATACAAAAAAAAAACTGTCAGACTATTTTTTTTTTTCAGAAACTATTATTTTAGAATTTATAGAAAATTAAAGACAAATGCTCTGACTGTTCTAATTGAAAAAAACTTTTTCAAATTGTTATTCAAAACCACAGCTGATAAATAGCATGGGAAAAACAAATGCATTTCCATTGCACCTAGAGCCCCACAGTATCTCTCACTCGTTTAGACCATTTAAAAAAATTATATTTATAAATATAACTTTCAAAATAAAAAAAGCGACAATTTTTCCAAACATTTTTGAGTTAAGTTCATTAAATTATAAAACACACATTTTGAAAACAAAAATAAATCAAAAAACAAAAACAATGGTGCAAAAACAGCATTTATGTCTTAATCTTAATCTTTCCTTCTGTATCAAATGATATAATGCTAAATTAAACATTTTGAATTATTTATAATAGGTAACATATTTACTACATCTATTAATTAGAAAAAAAAAATTAACCAGTTTATAACAAATTTTGAAATTTGTTATGCTTTATTAATGTCTTCATTACTTAAGTGGTTATGTGTAGTCATGACAATTTACAAAATTTACAATTTCTTTCAATTATTATTTATAGATACTAGTGATATTTATTGGTATGGTAGTATTCATTGGTGTTCATTGGTATAATTTTATATTTGTATAATTTATTGATGTTGACATGTTTGAATTTTATTTTAGAGACAAAACTGAAAAATTGGAAACTTTAAAAATGAACATTTTGAAAGAAATTGAAGCAAGTGATCAGGAGGATAAATGTCTTGTTGAGTATCGTAAAGAATTAGAACTTCTACTACAAGAAAAAATGGCTCATGTTGAAGAACTTAGACAAATACATGCAGATATAAATGCGGTTTGCTTAAATATTTTGAGATTAATTAGTTTTAATTTAAAATTATAAATCATTACCTGTAACATTTAGATGGAAAGTGTTATAAAAAAAGCCGAAGAATCTAGAAGCAAATCAATGGAACGTGCAAAACAAGTGCATGATGAATATAAACCTCTTAAAATAGATATTGATTGTATGCGTCGGGATTTACTTGGATTAGACCGGTTACCTGAACTCCATGAAGAAGAGAGTGATTTAGTTAGACCAGAGTAAGCATTTAATTTTGAAAGTTAATAAAAATTATTATATGTATAGCTTCTGTGCTATACAATTATTTGAACTTTATTTTAGGTACTAATATAAACCAATTTTGTTCAAGTCTATTTGTACAGACTTACTTTGATAAACAGATTAAACCAGCTGTGTCAACACCTCCAAATTCAGATTGGCACAATGGTGATAGTGTGCCATTAAGTTTTACTCAAGCACATCAGCACGCACAAGCTGCTGTAGCTGCTTTTCTTGGATCTCAAGCAGCTGCTGTTCAATCAACCCCACTTCAACAACTTGCAACTAGTAGTAAAATGGTTAATGGTGGACCTGTAGATACTAGACCAATACCTCCAATACCTGGACCACCGACATTCAGGTAATTATTAATTAATATTATATAAAATTAATTAACATTTGTATTATTAAAGTGTATATACTAAACACATTGTACAGTGTATAAGTAAATCATGTTCAAAAAAGAATATACTGATTTTGTGCATAACAATTGATGCCCAATTTGTCCGCTCCATGGCCAATCTTTCCCATTTTCACAATGGCGATTTTTGTGCACGGTGCAAATTTCGGTGAGAATGGGAGAAATTTGCCTTTGAGCAGCTACCGAGCATCAATCCTTACGAGCAAAAGAGGTATGTTCTCTTTAAAATGTATTATTGGTAATATTATGCACCTAAAACATACACGCACATTAATATCATTCGTAGTTTTATGTCTTATATAAATATTTATTTGTAATAAATTAAATATAATATATTTATAATGATTTATAAATATTTTAATACACTAGCTGTCCTGTATGTACCTAAAAATAAATTAAAAATATGTTGCCCTTTAACCTACTGTTTTCAACCCGTATCTATCAAAATTAACCATTGTCTGATAATTTGTTTTTTTTTAAAAAAAGCTTGCTTGTGCCTGTAACAATCAAAGTAATTATTAATAACTGTTTTTTTCACCCATGTCACCAAGGTAATCCATATATCAACATAAAAAATATAATTTTTATATCAAAAATTGCGTGTCAATTGAATTTTGGAATATCAAGATGCACACGGGTCTGTTTATCCACCTTTGTAAATCAATTTCAGAACTGCACTAGATTTGGCTCTGGATCTCACACAGAGAAACAGGCACACACTCTTTTATTAATATAAAAGATTTAAAATAATTAAATAACACATTTAATTAAGTTTTTGTGATAGGTATTAAGTCTTATAAATAATAAACTATAGTTATCATATTTTATTTGGTTACCAAAAATTAATTTATTCAGTAAACATTTGAAGTCCTTCATTAATAACCAATTCCACACTTGATTTAGTTTTGCCGTTAATTATACAATATACAGAAAGCTCAGTATAGGAATATTTGGGTACTACTTGTGAATAAAACTGCTATGGAGCACTAGAAATGTTTGAATAAGAACTAATCTAAGAGTGAGCCATAATCAAACATGCATCCCTCAGATGGTAGCTAAATATTAATATAACCTAACCTATCATAACTAATTTTTATTTTTGATATATTTACAAGTGTTAATTGAATATAATGTACTGTGTCATTTATCAGTAATAGTTTTAATGATTCTTAATAATTTTTTACTACAAAATTCTCACTTATAGTTTGATATATTACTTTTAAAGCATAAATTGAAAGAGTTGAGCATTTACACAATTACTGATGGGTTAAAAATGTCATTTGATAAATCGTTTTTATTATTCTTATAGACAACAGCCACCACCAATGAAATCGTGTTTATCATGTCATCAACAAATACATCGTAATGCTCCAATTTGTCCATTGTGCAAAGCTAAGTCCAGGAGTCGTAACCCAAAAAAACCAAAGAAAAAAGATTAACAAGCAATGAATCAAAGTAACAAATCTGAATTAAAACTGTTAATCAGAATTCAAAGTGTATAAGAATTAAAATAATGTCTATTTGATTGACATTAAATTCATTTTTGAAATTTAGATATTTTAGTTTTATGGAGAATCACTTTTTGATTATAAATAATAAGTTTTTATTCAGATGCTAAATGTATAACTCAAAATAGGCTGAAAGGGTTATAATTATATAACAGTATTTTTTTTTTATTAAGATTAATAATTATGCGCTATAAAAAATGAACTAATACTTCATACTTGATTTGATATTCTTAAAGTATTAGATACTACAATAAAAAAATGTTTTTCTTCTCATTTCCTTTTTTATTGAAGTATTTTTCATATTGTATATTGTTTTTTTAAATTTATTTTAAATTATTTGTTTGTAAATAAACTTTATTTTAACATATAATATATTACCTACTATGCCATTTAATATTAGAAATAATTATGAATGTACAAATGTTTTATAATTTTTCAATTATTTTTATTGATTTGTTGTATATTTGTTCAGATTCCCATATTTTAGTTGAAAGTATGTTATACTTCTATTAAACTCCAATACGATATTTTAAGTTTTAATAGCATTAGACATATTATAGTATATTTTTTATTTATACAAATAAGATACTAATATCATGTTTTAATGTGTACAAAAGAAAATAAATTCCATTTTATGCATTAAATATAGAATAGTTCATCATTTTAAAATTTAAGTTTATTCAACAATCAAAATGTATATAATATTTGAAATGTAAAACCTTACAGTGTTAGGTAGTCTTAAGGTTTAAAACAATTTTGATTGTTTAAAAAATGGTTGAAAAATAGAACAATAAACTTTTATTGTTTTATTAGACTTTCCACTAGTTCATATATTGTTTGGTTAGCTTAACAAAATTACAGAATCCATTATAAAAACTTAATTTTAATAACTATTCATTGTAAATGTGATATAGATAACAATCATCATGTTAAGTTGCATAAGTGTGACAACAAATGAACTAGAAAATTATAATTGCCTATACAATAAAAAATTATAAATATTAATATTAAATGTTATAACTAAAAGATTTTGATTTCGAATTAATATCTTAACTCCAAAAAGTTATATATTTATATATATATATATTGTCATCAATTACATTATTAACACAGTTTTAGCAGATAATACAATATCAGTTAAGTATTTGCATATAAACCTTTAACTATTTTGAATTATTTCAAACTATTTTAACTGCATTCACGAATTAAGATGTCTTAGTCTATGACTGCATTATACAAATCTAGTAATAATCATAATTGATTTTTTTATTAAAATTGTATAAGCAATATTAAAATACATTTAAACAAAAAATCAAGTATAATAACTTATTAACTTTTTTCTAAACAAACATAAATATTAAATAGAAATTGAATTGTTATTTTTGTTCTTCCAATTTCTTCTGTTCTTGTTGCTTAATGCGGTAATCAGATAAAGCTGCTTTAATAGCGTCTTCAGCCAACACTACAAAATAATGTTTTTATTATTTAATAATAATATACAATTTACATGATTGAACTGAAATAAATAATCAACAGAATATATTATGATAATATAATAATAATGCTTACTCAAAATCTAACTTCTATATTATAATGTACTTAGATATGCCGAATAACAATTATACCTCTCAATTTATTAAGTATGCTCAAGTAATTGTATGATAATATAATAGAAATAGAAGATGTAACCTTATATACATACAATTTACTGACTGATAAATCAGGTTTGTTTAGTAATAATTTTTATTTGAATTTTGCTAGATTAGATCAATAATCTATACAATACTGAACGAATATAGGTTATATTTAAAATATCAGTTTTAATGAAATATAAATGTTAACTTTTGGGAATTGTATAGTTTCATTTTAGTATCTGTTATTAGATCTATAAATTTCAATAGAGTTCGATAGAAAAATACTAACTGCATATTATTGAATAAATTATTTTAAACATTCTAATTTACATAAATAGTAAATATTCACTATTTGTATGGCAGATACTTTTGAGGAATACAACCATAAATAGAGTTTACATTTGAGTAAACTATATCAACATGTGATTAATTAATAAATACATTTAAAGAAACCAAAACCCAGTGTTTAAGCCAGTTAATAATTTTTTAATGTTTATAGAAAAATCAGGGCTCTTCATATTGGAGGGGAACTGGAGTAAATGCATTAGATGGTCCTTATTTTATGGACAAAATAAACAAAGTTAGATCATTTTGATATATATATATATAAGAGTAATTTATGGCAATTTTATTATTTATTTATTCATTAAAGATAAACGGGCGTGAACCCAAGTTACAATTATAGTGTAAAATTGACAAATTATGATACATATTATAAATTTGGAATAAAGAAACAAGTGTAAAAGATAACAAAAATAAACATAAACAAAAAATAAAAATAAGATAATATGGTAACATAATTTTATGAAAGAAATGACAGATCCTCATTGGCTAACTTCATCATATGGTTAATTGCCTCGTTTTTAAACAATTAGTAGGGCAAAGTGGAACAGAAAAGGTATGTGAATTGCAAGTGTATCTAATAACTTCAAAGTTAATTAGAGCAAGAAGGGAAGGGGAGTCAACAGAGCCAGATAAGAGCTTATTAAGAAAAATAAGATTATGAGAACAGCAGCGGTCAACTAAGAAGTTAAGAAAAAGGAGAAGGGGAATATAACCATGAGGGGGCACAATTAACATTCAAGATATGCTTTGTGAAGCAAAATAATTTATGCTGAACTCATTTGAGTTGTAAACAGGCATCAGCTGTTTAAGGATCCCAAACAGTCACATTTGAGAATAGGTTGTTCTAGTGTACAATAGATGGATTTAAGAGACCGGGTAAGTTTAAAATCACTAGATATTCTTTTGACAAAACCAAATACCTTTAAGACTTTAAATGTGATTTTATCAATGTGAGCATGAGGACAAAGAGAGAAAGTAAAAGTAGAGCCAAAATCACAAATTCTAGAATCAACAGGAATTAGGTTGGAGCCATTCAAAGTGTAAGAATAAGTAGAAGGAGAGCGACTTCTGGTGAATATTATTGACAGGCATTTATTAATATTCAATGAAAGACCAAGAGTATCAGCCCAGGCAGAGAAATTATTGAGATCGTCTTGCAATTTGAGATAATCCTCAACAGTATTAATTTTTAGGAAACTTCACTTCATGTCGTCAGCAAAATAGAGAAGTTGACTATGCTTGAGGGAGGAGCAAGCAATATTAACAAACGGTAAAAATAGAAGTAGGAAGAGATAGCCACCTTGGGGTACCCCAGAGGTAGGTAAAAGTATATCAGATTTTGTGTTGAACATATTAACCTATTGTGATCTATTAAATAAAAATGAACTGAACCAGGATAGAATTGGATCACCAAATCCTGAAACACAAAGTATTGAAATAAGAACATCTGATTTACTGTATCGAACGCCTTAGCAGTCTGTATAGATGACATCAACTAGATGTATAGATGTATAGATGACAATCCATTTTTAAAAAAACCAAAAATGTAATTTCAGAAGTAGAGATTACAAGTAACAGTAGATCTGTCTGAGTGAAAACCATGTTGCTTGTTAGCTAAAATCGAGTTAACCGAAGGCTGAATTGAGTCTAAGACTAAGGACTCAAAATTTTTAGAAATGTGTCCTGGAATTTAAATCAGTCTATAATTGGTCTATAATTAGAACCGATTTTCCACATGTCTGGAAAAGTACTTTTATCAAGGGATCTCCAAAATAAAGACCAGAGAGGGTAGAAAATAATGTACCTAGTACTGTAGAGGAAATCACCTCGTATTCCATCGGGTCCTGTAGAAAATACAACACATTTTTTAGACTGTTAAGCTTGAGGAGGACATTATTAGGAATGAAGTAACAGTTAGTCAAAAAAAGGTATCTCTAAGGGTTAAAAATAACTGATTTAGAAGAGTAAACTGAACAAAAATGTTAATCAAACAAATTTTTATTATTATGGCTCAACTTCTTATAGTTTGACCATTTTATGACTTTAATTAAAGAACATATTTACATAAAAATGTACCATACCTTTAATATAGAACATGCAATTATCTATTAAAAAAATAAATAGCTTGACAAACTTTCTCGTAAATTTAAAAATACTGCATAAAATATTTATCGATGTTATCAAAAAATATTGTTTACATAATATACTTTGAAGATAATTGTATGTTTTATGTGTAAGGTATGGTACATTTTTAAGTAAATGCAAAGAAAAAAAACAATTTTTAATTAAATTCTACAGACAGTCAAACTACCTGTTTTGGTCATTTTTCATTTCTTGTAGCATTTTGACAAACAGTATAGGGGAAAGGGTACTTGATCAAATTTATACAACTTTTTTTTCTGAACTTATAAAATAAATACCACCCTAGTATGCCAGAATATATAGGTATCAAGGAAATAATAGTATCTAATACTGAAACTAATAGATACTATTTCTATATTTACTTTATACTTTGGCATTAAATTTTTCATAATTCTATTACTTCCTCTTGATACCTATATTAAAATTTATCATTATTAAGTAATATATAATTATTTTTTAAACTTTTTTTTCATGTATTATATAAATTACTAATATTTTTGACAAAATATTTAAAAAGTATTTAATTCCCTTCCTTATTTTTAAGCTAATGATAGTTTATTTCTAATTAAAAATTCAGATAAAATACCTATTGAATTTTAAAAATTGTTTAGTTGTATACCTACCTAATTAATTATGAAATCTACATAAAACACATCGTCAGACAATTGTGATTAGAACTAAAAATATTATTATAATTACTATAATGACAATTAAAATTACTTGAACAATGAAGCTTCACAGGAGGTAAAGACAGTTCTTTTGCAATTTCCGTATTCTTCAAAGACAGGGCTTCATCAACCTTTAAAAAATGAAATGTTGATTGGTAAAATAAATTGTACCTATTTGTATAACATAATAAAACCCTTACAGTTTTTCCTTTAACCCATTCGGTAGCAAGTGAGCTAGATGCAATCGCAGAACCACATCCGAAAGTTTTAAACTTGGCATCAATTATTTTACCACAATCGTCCACTTTAATCTGTAACTTCATGACATCACCACACGCAGGAGCACCGACCAGCCCAGTTCCAATGTTCTTGTCGTTTTTATTGAACGAGCCAACATTTCGAGGATTTTCGTAATGATCAATCACCTGTAAACATTTGAATAATATTAGACTATCTATATTTTAATACAGTTCAAAATTGTACTTACATTCTTATGATAGAAAAGACACGGCACACTATTGGCCTTCGTGATTAGGCATTTGGATACTTTGTTTAACAACATGTTGGCGGAAGTTTGTTTATTCAATATTGAACGTCAGAACAACGAGAACTAGACCCTATTAAAATATTATTTACATGCCTAATGAGAATACAAGTTGCACAATATTGGGAAGTACAAACTAAAATGGGTGATGAACGGGGGTAAGTAGAGTACTGCCAAAACAATTGATAATGATAAACAGAAAAAAGGCAGTCCTAACAGCTGAAATGATTCAAGGTCGAGTACACTATATAGTTATCAACTAGTCTGCTGTTAACTATAAATAATAACTTACAAATACGGTGAACTTTACCCACTTAATACTTTATCTACCTACCATTGTTAACTAAATTTAATATCCATTAATAATATTGTAATGTCTATAGTTAAATATTACAAATGATAATACACAACAAAATCAGACCTTACAAATATTACATACATACCTACCTACATATAACATACTACATATTTGTACGTACCTATATTATAATTTAGCACTGGTACCTAAAGCTCAAAACTCTACAGTTGTGAGGCTACATAATGATGATGATAATATTATAATGTTATAGTTTATAGTTTTTATTCAGGAGGTATGTAGGTGCCTGCTATGTGGATATAAATTATTTGAGGGAAACAAAAATATTTAAAAATTTAAAAAAGTACCTATTCATTTTAAGTTATACTAAATGGTAAAAAAAAAATGTAATTTGGTCGTTATTTTTTTATAATGGTTACTTATAAGATTAAAATTTGATGACAATCGTAAATATGACGGTACACAGTGTTTCAAAGAAAAAAAAGGCCGGTCACAATCCAAAATTATTTATCTTTGTTTCTTGTACCTCGTATTACAATATTTATTACCTTGTAATAATTATAAACTTTGGTAAAATGATTAAAAAAAAATATTTGTACGTCATTAAATCGAAATGCGCCATTTTATAAGTAATTAACAGCTGTTTAAAAGTAATTTGTTTGCGCAATTATTGTAAATATTATATTTACTTGATATGGTATAAAATTTCATTTTTAGATTCTAAGTGTAATGAAGTGTGTATAGATTTTACTAAGATGTTTATTATTTTTTTTTTTTTTTTTATGTGAACACTATCTATTAGAAATCTTACTTCGATGTATACGATGAAGACTCTTTTCTGAAAATTTCTTGGTTGGTACCTACTTTGAAGAGGTCAATTTTCGATTTTCTGTTGTTTTTTTATCAAATGTGAAAAATGGGAAAATGTACCTACGAAATGTAGGTATATTAGTTGAAAGATATTTCTGCCTTTTTTTCCCTGTAAATAACTTTTTTACCAGCAATTGTGCTCAAATTTACAGTGATAGCACTTTTTCTGCAAGGAAATGTGACTGGGAAGGTAGGTACCTACTTTAAGATCATCTTTTGATTTTCCCAATAAATGGAAAAAACGAAGAAAAATGGGAAAATGTACCTACAAAATATATTATTTTAAAATCGCGTAAACATTACGGCCTTTCAAAACACGTATAACCGAATTTCGCTCAGAATCGTTTTTTGTTAGTAATGATTAATCGTTGCATACAGATATACATTAAATTCCCCTCTATATATTTTATATTTGATAACAATTTATTTTTATATAAATTAAAATTATTTGCTAACATGTTTTGTTTTTTATGTTTTCTCTTACCTAAGCCCAATAAACAACCACAAGATCCTGCCTCTTACAGACCCATAAGTCTTCTCCCAACCTTTTCTAAAATTTTTGAGAAAATTCTTTTAAAAAGACTCACTCATTTTGCTTCTTCAAAAAACATAATTCCACACACACAATTCGGATTCAGATTAAAACATTCTACATTGCACCAATTACACAGAACAGTCGATATCATAGCCAGCTCCCTGGAAAAAAAACAGTTTTGTACAGCCGTATTCCTTGACATCTCCCAAGTCTTTGATCGGGTTTGGCACGATGGACTCATGTACAAACTTAAAAAGTTCTTACCCGCCCCTCTTTTCCTCTTGATAAAATCATATCTGTCAAATCGTTTCTTTACTGTTCGCCTAAACAACACCTACACAACCCGTTACACTATTAGAGCTGGAGTCCCACAAGGAAGCGACATCGCCCCATTCCTTTACTCGATTTTCACTCATGACATACCCAAGACATTTTATACATCCTTAGGCACATACGCCGATGACACGCTAATAACCGCCTCCCACGAAAGCCACGTCACAGCCAATGAAATGATCCAAAATCATTTAAATATGATCAGCTTGTGGGAAAACAGATGGAAAATCAAAATAAACGAAACTAAATCTGTTCAAGTAACTTTTTCACTACNCGTTTCGGGAGCGCTTGAATGCCGCATAGGACGCCATCTTTGTTGAGTTTACGGATCCTTCGGCTCACTTCTTCATTTAGTATATCTAAGTTGGGAAAACGGATCCCTCTAAGTGGTTCCTGCAGTTTTGGAAATAAATCAAAGTCCGGGGGACTTAAATCCGGCGAATACGGTGGGTGTTTGAGGCGTTCCCATCCATATTTCTCCAAAAGAGCGACGACTGGTGCTCCGATATGCGGCCGCGCATTATCGTGCAATATGGACACACCATTTTGTAACATTCCTGGTCGCTTTTTACGGATTTCTGGTCGCAATTTTTTGGCAAGGAATGTTTTGTAGTAATCCCCGGTTACACTACTGCCAATTGAAACTCGATCAGTGACAATTATCCCAAGTTTATCGTAAGCAAAAATCATCATTTGTTTCACCTTTGTTTGCTGGCGACGAACTTTTTTTGCTCTTGGTGATGTTATTCCCTTCCAAATATTGCTTTGAGATTTTAATTCCGGCTCAAAATCACGGATCCAAGTCTCATCTATTGCAATTATACGATCAAGAAACGTTTCTTTTTCATTTTCGTAGCGAGAAAGGAGTTCACGGCAGATGTCTTTGCGTGTATCCTTCTGTTCCGGTGACAGAAAATGAGGCACCCAACGTGTTGCAATCTTTCGTTTCTGTAGAATTTCCGTTAAAATGCGGTGAACACTTGATTTTGAAATACCTGTTTCATTCTCTATCTCTATCACCGTTATTCGTCGGTCTCCATTGAGTAGAGTTGCGAGAATAGCCGCGTTAGTGTTGTCTTGAGTAACCGTAGAGGGTCGGCCAGAGCGAGGGTTGTTATCAATACTTATACGACCATCACGGAATCGCTGATGCCATCTTTGCACCGTACTACGATCCACAGTATCCGTTCCACACACTTCATTTAACGCGGCATGAATTTCAGGCACTGTTTTACCACGAATCGTTTCGATTTTAATGTATGCGCGTTGCTCAAAAACAGAAATGTGAGCTGACGAATTGTTCTCACTTTCGTTATCGCTCTCACACATCATCATACTTTAGTAAAACAAATAAAACTGAAAACGCACGTGTTCGTTAGACTTCAAGCTACAAACTGATACTAAAATCAGCTGATAATATCTCATTGCAAGACAGCTAGAGCGCTTTGTGCATTACTTTTGGGACAACCCTCGTATGATCAGCTTGTGGGCAAACAGATGGAAAATCAAAATAAACGAAACTAAATCTTTTCAAGTAACTTTTTCACTACGTAATCTCGGTTCTCCACATGTTACGTTAAACAATATAACAATTCCTAAGGCAAACGAAGTTAAATACCTTGGGCTAACTCTCGACAAACGCTTAACCTGGAGCCCACACATAAAACTTAAACGTAAAACTGTTAACTCAAGACTTCATATCCTTAGACCACTCTTAAAATTCANCTTCAAGCTTTTCAATCTATCTGCCTACGATTAATAACATCTTCTCCTGGGTATTTCACAAACAATAATCTTCACAAAGATCTAAAAATTCCTACACTCAATCAATTAGCAAAAGCACATTACTCTTAATTTCACTCCAACTTAAACTCTCACAGTAACCCATTAATAAAGCAACTTTCTTCCATCTCACTTCCTGGCAACGTAAGCAGAAGACTCAAAAGACAGTGGCCTAGAGACCTATTAAAATAAAAAAAAAAAATCACGACATCTAAAATGTTCAGGGTCGGGTGGTGCTGCTGAGTGCTTGCCCACAAATTTCTGCTAAATTCTGTTACTTATTACATCAACTATCAAATTTGCTCATTATACATAATGTTGTATAGATTGTAAATAAAATTGCTTTTAAAAAAAAAAATGTTTTCTCTTGTTCCATTGTCATGTGTCATATGCGAAATACATCTTGGATTGTAAATTAAATTTTGTAATATTTTTAATTAAATTAAGTTTTTTACATGCTGTTCACATCTAAATAATTTTAAATTAAACTCATTTGTTCTCGGGTCCAATATTAATAACAGAATAATTATTGGCAAAATATGCCATACACTTAAAATTGTCTAAGACTAGATATTATTATTTTGATTATGTTACAATATTATTAATTCATTTTCTCAAATGAAAAACATGTTTGAAATAAATAATTTATTTCACCAATTGAAATTGTTGTTTTTATAGTATATTTTTTGTTGTATTATTTAATGTTATATGCTCCCAGATTGTACTATACCTATTGATTTAATAACCAGATCATTTATTAGTTAGCTCGGCAATGTACAAAATAATTAACTTTAAAATCATAAAATGTAATTGTAACATTAATAAGATGGTAAAATGTAATTTTAATATTAATAAAAGGTTTGTTTAGGTTTAAATTCGCGTAGTCGGCGTGATATTCAACAATCGTACTACTTTGCTTGTTTTGTGGGAGGTATTTTAAACGTAAATTCGTAAAGCACGACGATTATATTTACTGGTCGAGACACTCGCGGTTTCCCGTCGTTGGATACAACACGAGTGACTCGATACAGGGCCTAAAATTAGGGTATTTTGTTACTGCACACTTAATTCTACACACCAAAATAGTTTAAAATAATGAATATAGACCTATATAGTAGTGCACATGCCACGTATAACTTCGTTGCATAATTATTTTTGCTATTTATTAATAATTAGTTATAATAAATACGATCTAAGACAATTTTCTATAAGTTTTTAATATATGACTAGAAATTTTAAAATTAAAAACTAATTAGCTTGGGTTAACATACTTATATTATTAAATTATAACAAATACCTACTTTACTGGGAACAACATCAAACACAATGTTATATTTAAAACATTTATATAAATTCAGTTAAAAACAAATTTTGATATTATTATTCCCAGCAAAAGAAATACTTTTTGAATATTCAGTTTCAAATAACACCCCTTGAAACCGTTACTGCTTAACAGCATACGCCTGTACCTTAGCATGCCTATTATTTTCTTTAAGCCAATATACAACTGTTGAATGAGGGTTGAATTTAGACACACAAGACAAAAAAAACGAATGTCGTTATCGACACCGTCCAGCCGGCGTAGTCGGTATTATCTTTAGTGTAAAGGATTTTAAATATATACATTAAATTAGAAATTGTCATTTTTTTCACTTATCAATATTGGATATTAATCAAATAAAAATGTATAGAAACCTGAAATGAGTATTGCACACTTTTAAATTTGCTACTGCATATTTAATATTAGCTACTGCACATAGCGAGTGCTACTGCACACAATTTCATTCCCTGACTCGATATATATATTAATCGAATATGCTCAGTCTTAAATCAACCGACAGTTACACTATACGTCCTCTAGGTCATCGTTTATCAACCTATATGTCGGGATCCAATATTGGGTCACGAAATATTTTTGATGGGTCGCAATGAAAGAAAAATATTTTGACTATAATATAACAATATAGAAAAAATAAAAAATTTATTAGCAAGAATAATAAGAAAATCTGCAAAATAAAAGTGGAAAACCAAAGGAAAAACTGACAATGTACGAAATATAAGTATTAGTTAAAAAATATTACGGCCTTCTTTTTCCCTTTGAACAACTTTTCTACCAGCAATTTTGCTCAGATTTACAATCATAGCACTTTTTCTGAATGGAAATCCGACTGGGGAGGTACTTTAAGGAGGTCATTTTTCGATTTTTTCAAGAGTTTTCCAAGTAAATGTGATAAACCAGGAAAATCGGTACAATATTAAATAAATAATATTAAAAAAAATATCTAATACCTATTAAATTATTTTACTACCATAATATAACAGATATATTGTTGACCAAGTATCAGTATCAACTGAACTCTGCTCAGAATTAGTTTTTCACTAGCAATGGTTTATCATTGCTTACATATTATATACATTAAATTCCCTTCTGTATCCTACCTTCCCAACTTCCCACCTACAACAGTGGCTGTACTATTATTATCCTAAGGTAGCTTTTTTTAATGTGCATTCCGTCCATCCGTAATATCGCGTTCACCCAGGTCCATGAATTAAGAAATACAGGATACCGAACGGAAAGGTTTTATCAATGTTTTTTTGTGTCCGCTCAGTTCTCACTGTTTGGCTAGACCAATTTATATTAGTTTAGTTTATTTGATTAGCTAATTTTATAAAATTATTATTTTATAAAAATAATATTTGATGTCCATGACATGGGGTTTGTAATCGTAGCAATTTAGAATTTTAGATAATGATAAACTCTATAGTTTATTATAGTTGTTATCAATAAAGCGCATTCTTATAGTTTTAACGTTGGTATTATTTATATTATATTTTATATAATATGGTTATGGGCACTCAATTAACGATAACGATTATTGGAAAATATACGAACGAAATGTCAATGAGTTATTTTAGTGTATCGCTATACGTCTTGTATGTCGTATGGAATGTTCTGTATTTTAGTGGTGTTTTATTTTACAAAACTTTTATTTTAAATTTAAATTTCTGAAGACCATTCAAAGAAAAATTGGATTAGAAACCCATTTTTGTATGAGTCTTTAGATACAGAAGTTCCAGAAGACATGGAAGACAAAGAATCGTTCATTGATATAGTAAGTGACAGCTCAATGAAAGATGCATTAAAAACATTGGTTTCATTTTGGATGTCAACAAAAATAGAATACCCATCTCTTTTCAAGCAAGCATTACAATGTTTAACTCCATTTGTCACTACTTATTTGTGTGAGAGTGGATTTTCTGAATTGCTGTATTTGAAAAATAAGTACAGAAGTAAGCTCGATATTCAAAGTGACTTAAGAGTGAAAATTAGTTCCATTCAGCCTAATATTGATGTCCTTGTACAAAATAAACAAATATCACATTAATTTTATTATTATTTATATTTATTATTTTTTTTATTAATTTGAAAATTGTAATTTAAAATTTAAATATTTAGATTTAACTAAAAATTAAGATTTTTTTTACTTTCATAAATATCAAATAATAAAAATGTAAAGAAATGAATGAATAAAAATATACGCTAAAAAAATTTGACTCCTAATTTAGTTTTAGAATTGAGGTGGTGCACTTGTATTGATTATACAAGTGTCTGGTGGTACTCGATGATAAAAAGGTTGGGAACTCCTGGGCTAGAAAGTTAATAATAGACGGGCATAAAAATCAACTTAAACTAGTTTAAAGTTTAGACTGGAGGAGTAGAGCGTATAATAAATTGCATATTATCTATCACGGCCTTAGACTATTCTATATTAAATATTGACACAGTTTGTAAAGAGTTCTCTAGAATACTAAATGGTATTAGTGGCCTTGCCAAAAGTGAGAAGATTTGAGCTTCAATTATCACACGTATCCTGTATACCTTAATTCGTGCCCAGGACACACCGTTATAAATTGTAGTACCTAATATTATAAATAACGTACAGCTGTGTTTATTTTGATTAATATATATCATGTAAAATAAAATAATGCATTTATTTCTATGTTGTTGAAAATATATTTATAAATCGCACCCCCCTTTTAAAATTTGAGATATGTTTAAGTAATGATGTATTTTATGACAAAAATATTTTTTAAGATGATATTTAGAAATATTTAAAGTAAGGTTAAAGAGGGTGTACTAGTCGGTATACAATTGTCAAACCCCTAAGTAAAAAATTTAAATCGCGCCTATGAGCAGCGGCATAATTTGTCACTATCTATTTTGGACTTCGGCAAATTTCGTGTTTCATTATTTCGAACAAATGTTGTCGATTACTAATTGTGTAGGAGTATTGGCATAATTAGGATAATACGTATATATAGTATAATTGACAAATAATAGGCGAGCACACGAACCATGCAGGAGCAACATAGGGAATTATAAACATCGTACAAACTTCTAAAAAACACTACCTTCTATAGGTATGGTGACCAGACGTACTTTTTTTCGTAGGGCAGTACTCATTTTTGATGCTTAGTCCCATGACCTTAACAATAGTGTTAAGTACATGAAATTGTTCTTTTTTTTGAAAATTATAAATAGTAAATAAATATAAATATGTAGGAAACATATGTTAATAAAGTATTGTATTTACTTATTTAAATGTTTACCCTTAAAAATTACTTTAATTTCAAAGTATTTTCATCGTAAAGACAAACCAAATTAGTTAACATTATGATTTTAAATAATTCATTTTTATAGTTGATAATAGAAAAAATAATTGAGTAATCTAAAAAAAAAAAACAAATGTGTATAGATACGCACAATGGGTAGAATAGTACACAATACCCACCTGTGAACTTTTTCATATTCACACTCCCTTTGTAAGCGCCCACAATCCGCCCTACAAGAAATATATTCCGCAGATATGCGGTTCAGAGATATAAGATATATATTATCTTTTAGAATTCTGGAATTATACTTTCCGAATAAATACGGTTTCTAATTTTTAAATTCCGGAGAAATTCTTTCCGGGATTTATATGTTCTTGGCATTTATTTTCCGGAATATTACGGCACACAGTCACCGTCGCATATCCTATCGTTATTGCAGTTATTTTTTGATTTATTTATAAGTTTATTACCCGTTTATAAAATATTGCACGAAAAAAATTAATTCTCTGTATTATTCAGTATAATAAAATCAAATTTGTAGGTACTAGGTATTCAAATTGAGACTACCCTTCTGTTTCTGCTAATAACCGTTGAGAACTTACAATCATAATGATTAATGAATGAAATATAAAACACAAATTAAAGGCCGTTAAATTGTGTGTAAGAATATTATACTATTTTGAATTTTCTAATAGAAAACAGTAGAATATCATAGTGATAGGTAGTTTTTTTTTTTTTTATTAATGATATTAATTAAGTACAAAAAATCCAAAAATTACCTTTCCAATGCACCAATTAGATACAAAATACTTCCAGAAAAGGTACAATTGGTGGCAAACTGGATATCTGTCTAGAGTCTCCTGTTTTTAGATTTTAGCGAGTATTAGTTTTACCATAATATGTGGTTTTTTTTTTTTTTTGTACCAGCAATGTTCATCTTTTTTATGTTTTGAACAAAATTTCTGCCAAAAAAATTTGTCCAATAAAAAAAAAAAAAAAACAAGAGACCTTTGGCGATTAAGAAAGTCATTTTTCTGAATAGTTATCATAATAATTGGAAAAAATCGAAAAAAGCGTAAATAAAAAATGATAAAAACTGACAAATTTACGGCATTACGATTTCATTAATTAAATTTGTACACTTTATGTTTTTTACATGGAATATTGAACTAGTAACAAGAGATCATTGTTGTTACATTTTTAATCCTTTTAGCGAGTAAAAATTTGAATAATTATTAATTTTTTTCAAATTTAAACCAAATATTTTAATTTTAGTAATAGTCAATAGAACCATAATCTAGATAAAACGGTATAAACGTGTACTTAGTTTGAAAGCAAAAAGTTCACTGGGATATTTGCTATGGAAGTCTAAATTTTAAACTTTCCAACTGGTCTGCTATCTGCTCTCTTTTAGGAGAGTATATAATAAAATAATATTATTCATTATTATTAACATTTTTTTTTTAGTTTTATGAAGACAATACCCATAAATTGGTCATAATAGACAAATTTACACATCTATGTGCATTAATTCAAAAATAGGAATACGGGTATACTTTGTATACCCGCCTATACACTCCACTACACCACTGCTTAATTGTCAGGAATATGGCCACACAAAAACTTAAAACATCCTCCTCATATAGTAAAATATAGGTAGTAAATATTATATTGCTTACATATTATTACTTATATTAACCTACTGTTTAATAACAAATAAAAATTGTATTTGGTTAATAATTTCAAAAATTAAAATACTACCAATATGAATTCATACTTATATAAAGAACTTGATATTTTACTTATTTCTGTTCTTATGTTACAAATGTAATTCTTATTTTATTACAACAAAAACAACCTACAATTAATAAAAACGTATCTGTCCTAACTTAATTATTATAGAAGAAAATAAATTTTATTTTGATTTTATTTTTCATATTTTTACAAATTATAATAGCATATTTATTTTTTAAATGTTGTATTCGTTTTAAGGAGGTGTGATAAACATATAAACCTCAGCGATTATAAAAATAACAATACAAAGTAATACAAACAATTATAAAAGAAAACCTTCAGAGGAAAAGAAATTAATTATTGAATGGATAGGGGAATATAGGAAGAATGGAAAATATGAATATTATTAGAAGAACATAAAGAAAAGAGAAGATGAAACTTATTGGAAAGAGCAGAACAATTTATGAGGATATGGGAATTGTTGCAAATAGCGGAGCCGTCATGATGAGGACAAGGGAATCATTGAGGGATAAGTAGTAGAATATCAAATTTATAATTATTTTGTTGCATCTACATAAGCTGTATAAATGGCATTAAACCATAAAACTACCCCATAAGCTCCAGCATCCATTTTACCAACAGAAGCAACACTTTCTACATAAGACGCCTTACCAAATCTGTAATATTAACAAAATATTATGTTTATATTTAGGATGAACTGATGAGGCTAAATACTAAATATATTTACAAAGTAAATTAGCAAATTACCTTATTTGGTTAATAATATCTATCAATATCTTTAATTTAATCAGATAGAAATGTAGCTTTGATGATTTATATCTACACCATAGGCGTGCGTAGGATTTGTTCACAGAATGTAACATAAAGAAAATGGGCCATTATTCCTTAAATGAGCCTTATATCCCCCACATAAAAATGAAGATAGTGAATGCAAAATATCAATTCATTAAAAATCAAGTTGTTCACTACTACCTAGGAACCTATGAACTTCAAAACCATACAATTATTAAGTTATATCACAGTTAGTGGTTGCCAGTAGGTTTTTTTTATTGGTTACTTAATAACAATTTTTCATACCTTATAAGTTAGAATTTAATATAAAGCCCAGAATGAATCATTTTGTTTCATCATAGTATCACACAGTACACCAAACACACCTTGTGTACACGCCTATGATTTACATCTTAATCTTTTTTCTATAATCTACACTAAAACATTTTAAATTATTATTTTAAAAACTTACTCGGCCTTCATTTGTTTTACATTGTCATTAACAAGCTGTAGAACCTTACATGTTTTATCTAAAAGAAGGGTGTATTCTTTAGAATCAATAATAGTTCTCAAGTCTCCATATTCCTGAAATACTTCATGTATTGCTATTATTGGATCAAACTAAAACAAATTAGTTATATTTGATATTATTAAAATACAATTAATTAATTATTAAAAGTATTCAATATGAATCTAAATAATCACCATAGTTTTATCTCCTTTTCGGGCACTTGAATATGTCATAGCTGTTTTAAGTGCATTTTGTAATGCGCCCGTCCAGTCTAAATAATCCACAGAAACTAAATGACTAGCAGCTCCAGTCAACAACAAACTATAAAGAGCTCCAGAAGCACCACCCATTTTGTCTTCACAAATTAATGCCAATGAATACAAAACACTGGCTGGATGACTTAATGGAAGAATGTTTAAAGTGGCAAGTAATTCTAAATTACAAAATTTCAATAGATAATTTTTTTTTCATTTCATAATTGTATTTAAAATGTTAAAAAGTAGATATTTACCAGAACCAAACCTTGAAATGGTTGAACCATTATCACCATCTCCAATTTCCAAATCTAATTTATTTAAAATATCAACATTTTGCAAAATAACCTCTCCAATTTTTTTCAATATATTTTTGAATACTAAAATAGAGTGTTCTGATATACACACTCCTAACTAATAATAGATAAATGGTTTATTCTTAAGCAGATATTTATCATCTAAAAATTGTTTAACCGAGGATAAATTTAGTTTATACACTTGTAACCTAACTTACAAGACTTTATAATAATGATATAATAGTGTTAACTTTACTGTTTAAAAATATATAACACAGTTTATGTGGCAATTTGTCACATGTACAACACAACTTATTAAGCAATGCTAGTATCGAATAGATAATAACAAGGTAATAATAATAGTACTTAAATACCTTTGATAGTAATAATAAGTGATAATTTAATTATTAATAAGTTATGATGATTAATTAGAATAACCTGGCGAATCCTAATTGTGAATGTAGCTATAAATAGAGTATAATTGTGGAGGGAGTACCTACTTGTTGTAAAATCTCAATGCACATAAACTAAATTTATATCCTCAACCTTTGCACCAAACACTTTATTGTAATAAATTGTATATAAAATATAGTTTTTGTAATATAGACTACTAATGACTCTGTTTAATAAATATATTATGGATGAAAAATTAAAATAAAATTTCCTTAATTAAAATTGATCTCAATTTTAGATACCAAGTATATGTAAAACAATTCAGTGTATTTATAATTCCAAAATTATTAAAGAATTGAAAATGTCTTTTTTGGTACTCAGGTAGGTTAATTAAATATAATGTATAATATATTTTTATTTTTACATTAGGATTTATATCGTCAAGATTAGATATTTTAATATTTTCTGGGTTTTCCTCTTTTACAATAGGTTCAATGTTCAAACGATTTCCCGGCCAAGCAAAAGCAGATGTTTCTTCATCTATATAATTGATCCATTCTGGATTGTCACTCACATCAATGGCACTTAATTGAAATCCATACATGTTTAAAGAAACAATAAAAGTTCCCACAAACATACGACTTACTTCAATTTTAAGTTCGTCTATAAATATTTTGAAAATTACAATACATATTAAATAAAAATATATAGATAATTATAATTATTAATTAGTAAGTGTAGTCATTACACATTTATACATACCAAAATATTCTTTGGTGTATTTAGCCAATGCACCCAATTCAATGCAGGATACTAATCCAAGATTGTTCACAATTAAGCAAATAATACTAGATTCTTTTAAACATAATGTTTTTATTATCTTATCTACCGCTAAACGAATTAAATCTTTTACATCACATGCCTATAAAATAAAACATGAATTTGTTATAATTTTATTATACAGGTATCTGTGAATCCCCAAATCAGGATTTGGGTGATTTGGGTTGTAGATCAACTAATTCCAAGAGATCGTTTATAAGAATTAAAAACTGAATATGGAAAAACGGCATTCATTTTTTTCAGTATAGTAGGTAATCTAACAGTCAATGTTCAATAGTCATTCACACCACTACAACACAATAATGCAATTGGATTATAGTTGGTAAAACATGAAATTTGCTGTCTAGTCTTTACTAGACCTTAGGTTCTAAGTTATTCTAAGTTTTACCGTAACATACTAAAGTAGGTATACATATTATATTGATATTGGTTTTTATTCAGTTTTGCTAATTATATAAGTATACCTTAATTCTAGAAGTTCCTGCCTCCCCGTGTAACCCAACTCCGAATTCAAATTCACCTTGCTGTAGTACAAATGATGGATCCTTTCCTGGTACATTACATGAAGTTGCAGAGATTCCAAGCGATGCTAACTTATCATTAATATTTTTACCCACAGACAACAAATTGTCAATACTGTTACCTCGTTTGGCCAGTGCACCTAGTATCTATAGAAAATCCAATAATAATTACTAAGATTAATAAGATTAATTTTCACTTGTAAAAATATAATTAAAACTACCAAAAGTTTTAATTTACAATAAATATACATGAACGTTGGCTTAGACGAAGTTATCAAACATAAGATTTAGTGTCATTGGATAAAGTGGAGAAAACCGTTAGGTGTTTCGTGTAGCAAAAGAATTTTAATGTGACTTAGATAAGTTCTACAAAAGAATGGTGAGAGCGATTATATTATATATTTTGGAGTGTTGGCAGTAAACAAAATAATAGAATGCATAAAATATATAATCCAAATTATTATGTTTTAAACTTTAAATTAATAAGGGTAATAATTATTAAAATTGCATGTTTTAATTACTATATTATACTTAAAAATATATATGTTTATAAGTTATGAAACCATTATCCAATTTTGTAGTACATTAGGTCTTATCATTTATATATATATAATAATTTATATCTAAAATCTAATTAATTAATCAATTTTATCAAAATTTGTTTTTAATTTTTAAAAAATAAAATTATTTGTATAAATATTATACTAGATTTATTTTATTCTATCAATTAAATTGTGTATTTATAATTTTTTTTGTTTAAATTAAATAGATTTCGAACTAGTAATAAACATGTACAATTGTAAAACCAATGGCTGTAGTGGTTTATATTTAAAATTGAAACAAAAATTAGTTATCTACTTCACAACTAATAGATTCTATATTTTAACTTCTTATAATAACTCAAAATTTACCCAAAATTATATAATTATAAAAATTTAATTTATACAAACAAAACTACCTTTATTACATATAATAATCCACACATGCCTCTTTTGCCTACTTTGCCTCCTGGCCTTGAACAATCATCACTAACTACTAACTCAGCCACCTAAAATTAAACACAAGTTAATGTTTAGACATTCTTTTTAACTGATTAATTTTACAGCTTACTTTAATATTATCTAATTTTTTTGCTTTTTCACAAGCTAGTCCAAAATTAAAAACATCTCCAGTATAATTTGCCACAATAATTAAAATACCACTGTTACCTATTAAATTATAATAATATTACAGAAAAATTAAAGGATAGTTCAAATTAATAAAACCATACTAACCATTGTACTTATTTAAATACTTTATTGCTTGATAAATATTCAAGGATGAACAACAAGTAAAAACATAACCACTAACTGATGCGGATAACATTCCCTCACCAATATATCCTTTAAACATAATATTACATACTTCAGATTATCATTATGTCACATATACCATGTATTTTTTGATTATTACTATTCTAAAATGATTAATTGAATGCCTAGTTAATAATAGTTTTATTTAAAAATAATGAATCATTTTACTACAATTTATGTGTCTATGTGTATTTATAACAGAATTACAGCAAAAAATTCCCAAAAATTAAAATTTCTTAAATGCTCAAAAGCAATGATACTGTAAGAAAGTAAATCAAAAAGGTGTCTTGTGATTTTTATATTAAATCTTTTTTACTGGTAGAAAACGTCTGTTTTTATAAAAAATGAAATTGTACGTTTACTTAAGTTTTTTTCCCACTTAAGTGTTTTTATTTAAAAAATAGCGTCAAAAATCAAAAAATTACCTCTTTAAAGTACTATCTAGACAACTTGAGATTTGAGAAAAGTTGCTACACATAAAAATTAAAACTAGGAAAAACGTATTCACAGACTAGAAAAACAAAGAAAAAATTTAAAAAATTAACAGCATTATAAAACTAATAGCTCACTTGCTACGCTCAGAATCTAAAAGGGTATTGTAGACAAAATTTAAAAATTGAAAAATAAGAACCACCCAAATATACAATGTCATTCAAAATGTACAATATGAAAGTTTTTTTTTTATTTTTAAACATCTAAAATGAATTGTACAATTTTTTTTTAAAGATTTAGGGAGGCTTGAGTCAATTATTGAAATTCAAATAGGAATCTATAGTTATATTGCAACCTTAAATTTGTTTTTTCAATAAATTTAAGGAATTGAATAACATTAATTTATTTGCAAATCTATATTGAGAGCAATTTAAAGTTATTACTAATACGGCTATATTTGGTTTGCGGAAACAACACAATGTATTGTGTGATAAGTGAACTCATATGATACTTATCAGTGTTCTAAAAACTTTTAATTGCTCTCGAGCAGTTTTTAATATGAAATCCTTTTAAAATGTCAAGTGTTATATGGTATCACATAATTGATTAAGAATTAAATTTAAATCCTTTAGAATTTACTTACCAAATGGATATGGTTCATGACCAGAACCACCACCTCCAAGTAAACAAACTCGTTTTTCTGATTTCTGTATAATTTAGTTTAGTAATGAATTATATAGGTCCAATTTTAATTTAACTACTTACAAATTTTAATCCAACTATTCGACTATCTGGATAAACATCAAATGCCTTATAACTATATGCCAATCCCTCAAACATTTCTGTTAGAAGAACTCTTCCATTTTTCAACAAGTATTTCTCATCAGTTTTTGATTTGTCTTCAGTCATTATGTATAAAAATCTATATAATATGTTTACTTTTAAATTAATAATAATAAAAAACTATTATATAGGTATATATAAGTTTTAACTAAAATAAAATAAAATCTAAAATTTTAGTGTTTAATTCTTAGTGTCATCGTTTAAAAAAAATGATTGTTACATTAATGAACTCATTTAATTTGTTTGGTTTGGAAAGAGAAAGTAATATTTTAAGAAGGTAATATTTTTTTAATGAAAACTGTACACTTAATGCACGTTATACATTTTTAACCAACTATAACCAGGTGGTTCACAGAGTGTTAGAATTACCTACACAGCACATTATTTTGAATAATTAATTTTTATATTATGTGATTAAAATAAAAATTATCTTCTTACACTCTTATTTTGTTAACTGTATAAATACATTATATTATTACATTGTATTATTTATTGATAAAATATAGAATACAGATACATTTTATTTTATTAATTTTGATTATTCTATGTACTTACTTAGAAGTATTTCTGCTGTAGTTTGTGATTTGAGAAAAAAAATTTTAAATAAAAATTTAAAAATGAATATTTCTTATTACTTTACTAAATATGCACTCTACTCTATACAAATTATCAAATACTTGATTTTATTAAATCAATACTAATACTACAATAATGATAAATACCTAATAAATAAAAACAATATTATGTACATATATATGTATTTCTTTTAGTATAGACCACGGACTTATATATAAGACTTATCCGTAATACGGACCATCATGTTGTATAATAATGTAATATTAATTCATTTATGACATATTATAGTCATTAGTCACAATCATTACTACTTGAAACTGTAGCTGTTTATCCAAAAACATAAGCACATAATAGTTTTATTATGTGAGATAAGATAAGTAAGTAGATAGGTTAGGTTTAAGAAATAAATTAAGGTAGACTTTAGTCTAGGTAACAAACAATAGATAAATGGTCTGAGATACTATATAAATTAGTAGTCACTATTATTATGAAATTGTGTATACTTCCCTACTAATTTGTATTTTATATACCTATACAAGAAATTCGTTAATACAAACGAATGTAAAATTTCTCTTAAAGATTAAACCGGTGTGAATTTGAGAAATTTAAAATTAACAATACTGGTTTTAATTTTCTGTACCATAACATGCATATGGCGCAAACTATTTACATAGGTTTCATCCTCTCAACAGATAAATAATAATAATAAATTAATTGATAACAACTAATGAGATGATATATCTTCTACAACCAATAAGAACGCAATATGCCACTAATGCCAACTATAGAAAACCAAAATCTGAAATTGGCCACAATCACATCCCAAATTATTTGAATAAGCTGCATTACCATGTACATATTGTTGCCTACCAGGATTGGTGATAGGAGCAATAAGCTTGTGTTGTGCTATTGTAGTCATAATCATGACAAAATAAATTTCCAACGGAAAATTTATTGGGAAAAATATTTTTCCAACTCTTTTTCAATTAAGTTCAGGAAAATATTATAAATTGACTTACAAATTTACTGAAAGACACTTGACAGTAGAAGGTACAAATCGAATGAGAGTAAAACTTGCTGTTTAATTATTGTCGAATATTATAGCTAAAGCTATATCTTTTTGTGGAGAAAAATAAAACCATATAGATTCATTTAACTGAAAAGAGGCAAGCAATTGTGTTATGTTTAGTTTTATTTTAAATTTGTATTATACTTTGTTTAATACTTAAATTTTAACCTGCATTGAGTTGATCCATAAACTACAAAATGCAATGTACATAAGTTAATCACCAATGCTATTTGTATCAAAAGGCATCACAAGTAGTACAGTTAATCAATTAAACTTAATAAATACCCAGTATTTTAGGTACTTATTAATTAAAATGTATTAAAACTATTAATAAATAATATTAATGGTAAATTTCTTAACTGTTTTAACTGGATATTGGAGAACCACCATTCTAAATAGTGGAAGAAGGGTGTGCTTAATATGTTTCCGGCCATGTAGCCTATCGTGTCTATAATAAATATCCTTCTTTAACTGCTCCACATAACCCAAAAATCACCGGATAACAAGACAAATCATTTATCTTGAGGCAATTTAGAAATTCCATCTTTCAGTATTTTTAAAGCAGTTTTACAATTGGAAAGAGATTTCAAAAATATTCAAAAATGTTTATCTAAAAAACCACAAGTTTTTAAAATTGTGTACAAAATGTTTTCCCCAAAAATTCAGGATTTAAACACACCCGATGAAATTGCTTTATGTCTGATATTAACACGAACATATATATTCGTCTAAATAATTTGAGCAATGAACTATCAAGCGCAGATTTAAAAAAGAAAAAACGAAAATTCACTAACTGACAAAATAATATAATTTAAATAAACTGTAATTAAATTTACTACATTATTCTTAAGTATTTAATTTCAAACCATAATAAAATATTTATCTTGTCTATTTTGTTACGGATATTAATAAATCCTAAAATATCAAGTAGGTATTAATTACTAATAACTATAAATCTATAATAATCGATTAATAATATTAAAATTATTAAAAACTATAATTTATTTTGTCATGCTACTAGTACTGAATAATTTCAAAAACCATGTGTAAAATACGCGACCAATGAGAAGCTGAGAACAACGATTATGACGGGGTGAAGAGAGGTGGAACGTCTCGAGTATATCACAAAGTTGCTGATATACCTATCTATTTTTTCGTGGTGATAATAAATGTTAAAAATAAAGAAAAAGGGCTGATACTGGGGATAGGAGCAGCTATTATTGTCGGTGAAAATTTGGGAAGATAGGATATATAAGGTTATTTCATTTATATCTGTAAATAACGATAAACCATTGCGTGACGAAAGACAATTCCGGGCGCAGTTTTGGTAAAACATGTTGCGATTTTCGTTTAAATTTAATTTTAAAACGTTTATTTTAAAAAAAAAAGTCCGATGATTTTGAAAATTTTACCACGTCTAGGTAAATCCAATATAAGGATTATTACCAAGTTTCAAATCTCTACGTGTATTTATAACATAATTACAGCAAAAAAACAACCAAAAATTTAAATTTCTTAAATGCTCAAAAGTTTTGGCAATGATACTGTAATAAAGTAAATCAAAAAGGTGTCATGTGATTTTTCGATTATATCATTTTTATTGGTAGAAAACGTACGTTTTTATAAAGTAACGAAATTGTTTGTTTTCCTGTTTTTTTCCAATTAAGTGCTTTTATTTAAAAAATGGCGTCGAAAATCAATAAATTACCTCTCCAAAGTACTATCTAGATAACTTGAGATTTGAGAAATGTTGCTACACATAAAAATCAGAGTAAGATTACTAGGAAAAAACTGAACCCTCCCAGGTGACTAGACGTAGAACATAGATAAATATATAAAAGAATAGGTAGACATAAAAGTAGATTACTTAGAGCTTGTTTTTCATTTTAAAATATATGTACAGAATTTCTCTTCTTTATATTTATTTCTTATCACGCGTTATCGCTTTTTTGGAATTAACCTAATACAATACCTTTATTATAATCGGCTGTAATCACAGATATATATAAAAATATTTATAGATATGTGTAGATGTAATATTTTCGGATAAAATACTATCAGCTCAAATATTTTTCGGTTGTTTTACGCACTCCCGCAGAAGATGTACTCTTTTTTGGAAAAGAATATAAATAAAAATATTATTCTTCCCTTTCATATTATGTTTATGGTTTTAGAATAACTCCTGAGAAAATCAAAAAGCACCGTAATATTTTCGATTTGAAAATAAAACATTTCGTACAAATTCTCACTTACATATTATGAAAACCCTTAGGAAACTTAAAAAAATGACTTCCACAAAGTACCGCCCCAGTAAATTTTCTTTTAGAGAAAGTGCTGCACTTGAAAATCAGAGCAAGATTTCTGATAGAAAAGTTGTTCGGATAAAAAAAACAAGAATTATATTTTATTTGTTCAAACACACGGTCATAAAATTGTCGGGAAATCTAACCAATAAAGAAAATGAGAAAAGAACTACGATTGCCAGCTCTACAATCTCGTAAACACGTTTACAGTAGGGTCATTGTACAAATTGATTAAATTTAAACATCTTCAAAACTTATGGTCCATTTAGCATGTTTACGCCACTTCTAAATTTTTAAGAAGTTCAACAATTAATCAGAGAATTATTTTTTTTACGCTAACAATATACTTAAGCGGCCACTCTAAATCTCGGTGACACTTTTAGTCCCAGTTCGCTCCTGGCTGCAAGAAAAGGAATTCTTATTAAAAAGACTGATATACATTGCACAATGGATGGGTCCATTGTTGTAGGTGAGAAGTTGGGAAGATAGGATGTAGAGAATTGTATTTATATCTGTTCACAATGATAAATCATAACTAATGAAAAACTATTTGGATAGAAATTTTTTTTAAATATAAACATGAAAATTTGAAAACCGTTAGGAAAATGACCTTTCTAAAGTATCACTTGGATAAAATTTCCTTTTTGAAAATTAAATATAGTTGAAAATAGGAGCAAGATTTTTAGTAAAAAGTTGTTCACAGATAAACAAAAAAATAAAGATTTAGAGAATAATTAGAAAAATAAGAAAATTTATTTAAAAATAAAGAAAAAAACCAATTCATTTCTTACAACGTTCTGAATATAAAAGCAAAAAAACTTGACTTTTTTCACCATAGTGAAACTGAAAACTGGTAAACCATTTACCCAAGATTATTCTGTAATTATTTTTTTCAAAATGTAAGTTTTCTGCTTGTAGGCAGCATATTGTTTAATCATGCACTACTAGGAATGGACTTATGGCAGTTACGGCCTCAGAGAAATTTGTTTTTTGCAATATTGAGCAATTACTTATATCAGTATAAAAAAATACATGAAACTATTAAGTTAAAAACTAAAACATGATTTACTAAGTAAAAATTAAATTAATTCATAATAATGACTTAATATATGGATAAAAAAAATAAAGTACAGCATAATATAGCATATTTTATAGCAGAAGAGTTGAAAGGAACAATAGAGAATGAATTTACAATTAAAAAAAACAATACTCAACAATGGTTATTCAATCGTTGGTAGTAAATAACTAAGTTTTATTATTTTATTTTAGTCAACATAAGGAAATTAAAATCATTATCATATAGAAAAAAAAAAAAATAATAAAAAACCATGTAAATATTAACATAAAATAATGATAAAAACAGAAGTATAAGTGGTTTTTTTTTGTAAAATTAAGTCTACACAAATGATAACCAATTAATATATAGGTAATACACACAGAATAAGTTAAATGGACAAACAAAAATGTAAGTAATTTAAAATAAAATAATTATCGAGAAATAAATTATATTTAATACTATAGAGCAGTGTGGTTCAATATCAAAGCCAAATGTGAATTGGTTTATGAGCATAAAAGTACTAAAATGATTATTTAATTTATATAGTTTGCGAATTATAAAATGTTGGACCAAACTACCACATAGTATTAAATAAAAATAATTATCTATAATGGCAAAATAAGTGTAGAGCATAATATGAATAAATAATAAATCATTTTATATTAAAATTAGACAACTTCCAAAGAGATAACTGATAAAAATTTAAAAAAAAAACCCCAGAATAAGTCAAGATAATATTATATATATATAAAAAGGTAGCATAAATAAAATTAGATTTCAAAGAGAAAATACATTCAAAAATACAAATATAATCATAACATAATAGGTTAAAAAATTATTCTAATGAATAATTCTCTGAATAAAGAATTTTTAACAATTCAACATAAAAGAATTTTTTTTAGTAACATCTTTAAAATTTAATAAGCAGTCCAATTTTAAAAACAGATAAATTAAAAATTATCTGTAACAAGAATAAAATTGATAACTTTTTGGTTAGAAACAATAACAAATGTAATTAACTTAATATTTGTCTAACTTACAAAACCCAACACCAACCAACTTATTGATTATTATCCTTAATGGATTTATGGTTGGCGTTTTCTTCCTTATTCCAAAATTTAAGTTCTTGTTTTTCTGTATCTAATACACACGATTTACAGTCATTTTCGGCAGAATTTTCAAAAAGAGAATCATCAGTAATATATGGTTCATGTTTCCTCAACCGCTCAATGACATGTTTTAATTCTTTTTCAAGGCGCATTGTTTTTATTTGATACTGTTCACACCACTGACGAAGATTTGAAAGTTCGGCCACTTCTGGCTTTGAACAGGCTAATTTATCTCTAATATATCTTAAAAACAAACATATATATTTTATGAATTTATTAATTATTTTAGAAATATGAATAGTTACCCCAACGAATCATTGGGTCTCAATGGATCTTGATACATTTCAGCTAAAATGTTTGTGAAAGAAGATAAGATGCCCGTTTCTTCTAAGTGTTTTCTGAACTCTTCATGTCTTGTATCAAACTAAAATTAATAACAATAAATTAGATGATATAGTTAATTATTAGTTTAAAAATCATAGAATTGAGAACATTTGTATTTTAAGACTTTCAAATTACACAGGTATCGGGTTAGAATTAAGTTTTGTACATTTTAATTTATAATATTGACTACTATATACTATATAGGAACATAGAGACAATATATTTGTTTATACTGTCTTCATAAAAAAATAAGCACATTTTTTTATGAAAACTTACATGTAATGAGTATATTCAATAGAAAAAGTAAAATTAACTATTTTAAGTGGATAAAGCAAAGACATTATGATGTGTGTTAAGAAATAATGATTAATTAAGAGGTAAATGTAAATACCCAGTTGAAAAAAAATGATCTTAATGAAAACACTTTCAAAATAAATAATACATAATTTAAACGGATGCAAGTCATGTAAATAAATATATTGAGAAACAATTAAGGTTACTAATTAATAATTATGGAATAGTCAAAATGTTGATAGATTTAAAAAAAAAGATTAGATATTGGTATTTTCTTTTTTTCAAAACATTCGCAAAATATAGCAATTTAGATCAATTTCATTTCAATTAGTAACAGATGTAATGAAGCAATTACCTAGTTCTGAAAAAAAATTATATTCAGTGACATATTTACATGAAATCGGTTAGATCACTCTTTAATTCTATTATTTTTTTTTTTTAATTTGGAAATTTAGGACTAAGATTAAAATGAAAATGTGACCAAGGGGCCACTAAATGGCGACCCTTAGACAAATTTATACAACCCCAAAAAAAGAAGGAAAAAAAAGAAAATATAATATGATATTTTAGTATCATGTTTTTTTATTTTTGATCAATTTTCAACATTTATCCCAATAAATTATTATTTTTTTATTATATTAAGGTATAATTAATTTTAATTTTACATTGTTTCAAATATTTACAGCATTAATTATGTTCTTATATTAATAAACAATAGCAAATAATAAATAAATAACAAAAACATGATGTTCTCATTACTTTAAATTATATAATAATACATATGTCCTAGGTAATATATACATTTTTTCACAAAATTAGCTAGGTATATTCATTATAAACTATGTATAAATAAACTAGATTACCTAATAGGTACATTTATAAACCATTAATTTAAATAAAAATGTTTTAACTATAAATATAATAACAATCTTTTACTATGACAAAGTAAGATAATTGCTAATTTATAATGGATAAATTCAACAAGTAACTATAAAGCAAGCAGTACTTAAGTGAACAATCTACTATTGGGTGAAATAATAGCAAGTGTGTCTTTGAAAAAATTTGACTAATCAAATTAAATGGTTTGTCTCTTCATTAGTTTAAAAATGTATATTAGTACCAACCTAAAACAAAAAGTTAAAAAAAAAAAAAAATTGTTCTAATTAAATAGAGTATATAATACAACTCCATAAATCCTATTATAATAGAAGAGTATTAAATTCATACGTTAGAGAATAATTTTTGTGTTAAAGTTGTAGGTATTAGTTTTTCCGTTTAAACACCCAAAATGAAACATTAGAAAATAACTGAGTTTGTAAGTTCAACTGGTACAAAAATAGGTCATGTCTCCAGTACTTAAAATTACCCCTTCTCCAAATTGGATTTTCTTTTTAATATCGGTCGTACAAATTACTCACTGAAGTTAATACTCATAAATTTACATACCCGCTACAACATCAATTGAAACATGATTGTCCTTAAGACTTTCTTAATTAGTATAAGATATACAACCAGCAAATCGTACTATTATATTATTAGGTACCTATTGGTTTAGTCAACTAAACCAGTATCTATAACACTACTTTATTGTATTAAGCATTATTATTTTCAACTACTCACTTTCAAACCAATCTGCATATGCTTATGTTATAAATATATGTAATTAAATAATTATCACTGCAACTATATTCATCATATTAAAAACGTCAAAAATGATATAGGTACATTACTAATATCTGTAGATGTAGATAAAACTAATGGCTAGGAATGTAGTATTTTTAAAAAAAAATTTAAATAATTTAATAACAATAGTGGCGAGTTATAGATATTACTGTTTTCCGAATTTCCAATAGGTAGGTATCAGACATATCCGTTACCGATACAAAACTAATGGGACATTTGATTTGAAATCGAATACCACGAGTGGATAAATCACGGATGAGTAGATTATATAGGTACTGTTTTTATTTATTGATAATCGATTAAGTGCATTTGATTCCAATTTAATTATTGTATGGAAAGCGGACATACTTTACTGGACACGTTTCGAGTGTACGTGGTTCGTATCGATCGTCGAGGCGATTGTTGTCTGTTTTGCATATTGTCGATTGGACAGCCGTTATGCCCGTTATTGTTGTAGTATTCGTGATTGTAGTCGTTATCCTCCTCAAAGGGATTGTATATCGGTTGCGATATTGGATATTGATGTATTGGTGACCACGTGACTGGCGGATATCCAAAGTGTGGTGGTACCGGGAAAATCGGTTGGCCGGGCATGCGAAAATGCGCGTTCTGTAGAGGCGGCGGCGGCGGCGGCGGCAGTTGTTGTGGACGGAAAATAGGCACAACTTGGGGCATAAACTGAAATTGATTTGAATTCGAACCTTCAGCCATTGCGTCGTTTTAAGGGTGAAATCAATAGTTTATTAGACACAACGATGACTAACAATAAATAAAATAATAACAAACAGCAGTAACAATAAAAGCAGCTAGCAGATTAACGAAGTATTCTAAATGGATAGTCCAACTCGAAAAACAAATTTATCTAATGTTTTGTTTGAGTGTATCGAGAACACCGTGACTCGTGTGTAAACGACTGTACCGTTTCTACATATATAGAAAGAAATTTAATACAGTTAGTTTTTATTTTAAACCGGGAAAACCACCATCCCACCGTTCTAAAATCTACGAGTTACCATAACCACGTTACCCGTAGTGCAGTGACTCCCAAAAAGTGTTTTATGAGATTTGAATAAAGTGCCGTGAAAAATTGAACTTTGTTATTGTAGAAAATCATTAAAATATATATTAATATAATAAGTGAGATTAATAAAATAAATAAACGAAAAATTATTCAAATATAAAATAATCTAAATAGATAACAAAAATTTAAAAAAGAATTAAAATGTGTGCATTAATTTTAATGTGAAACAATGTGTTTGATTTTTATATAATAGTAGGGATCGACAACAAATATAATCAACGCGTATTACTCGCATTTTTTATTCAATTGATAAAAGTCGTTCACATTTTTTATTTTTAATATTACTTAGTGTGGAAAAACTTAATTCACAAAGATATGTAGTAGAAAATGGTAAAAGAGTATCTAATTATTGCTTTTTCTATAATAATTTTCAGATACTTCGATACTCGGCATTAATTAAAGTTTAAAAATGGATGTGTGTAAGACTATATTTCACTATATTTTAATTTCAATAAACGAAGAAATTGAATTTCTATTAGTTGTATTGGATCAACTTCCCTGATGAACTAGCTGTCCTGGATGAGACGACATTTGATGTTACTGGAAAAGGATTTGTCACCTAATCTTTTTTTTTTTTTTTTTCATTCTTTAATAGGCAAAAATCGAAAATATTTTTTCATTTTGCAACTATGGGATTATTAATAATCAATCTTCTCCATCTAGATTGATATCTGTTGTTAAAAATTTGCGATTGTTTTACGAAAACTTTTCGTAAAAAAAACCATTTAGTTTATTATTTGATATTAATAGGTTTTCATCTATACCTTACACTCTTGAATTAATTGGGTAAAAATATCAGTTAAGTAGACAATTCTAAAGTCTATATAGTCACGAGCCGTAAAGTTAGTATAGTAAAGTTATAGTAACTTAATAATGTGCCTCGATGGAAAATATTTTGCGAACCACTGCCACAGAGTTACACAATCATAATGTTTTGTCGTGCAGTGTCCTTATCAAATTGGTAACTGATTATCAATTATCATTTCTATTATGGCTATTATCATAATCAGTTATCAGTTATATTTCGAAAATAAACAATATTGTTCTTCGTCATTTTGAAATTAAATTTAAAACTTATTAAGATTTTTCAATTAAAAAGAAAATTATTCTTGTTCGTTTAACCATACAAATAATATGGAATTGCTTGTAGCAGGATTCGATGATATTAAGTTCAATGTAGAAATAGCCTTAGACGAACAACATGGTGCTCTACCTTTGCCGTTTAATGGAATGGACAGTAAGTGATTAAAATTATTAATTTACCTGAGTTATTCATGATCATTTTTAATTATTTTCGTATATTATTGTATTATTTTATTCCCTATTTAAAAATTGAGAAGTTATGTTCAGTATGTATCTTAAAATTTGATTTTCTTATAGTTACTTAAATATAATGTATTCAGGTCAATTCTATTATTAAAAAACGTATTTATTGATTCACAATAGATTTTCAAAGGTCACTTTGCATAAAACAACATCTATTCATGTTATTAATACATCATAATATGTTTAATAATTATAGGACTTGAACTTAGCATTCTGTTACCATTGATACGTATGAATTGTGATCTATCTATCAGTAGTAATCTACGGTACAGTGTAAGTGATCTACTGGCTACCTGACAGACTGTCGATGACAGTGGTGGATCATCTAAATGTAATAAATATAATTGCCAACAAATATTTATAGAAACTGGAATTCAAATAAAAAACTAATACCATTAAAATGTATCCATTTCTTAAATAGTTAAATTTTACAATAAAAAAACAAATTTCATATACCTGCATTTAATATTTATTAAAATATATTTATTCTGGCTCAGTAGTAATTGTGGTATTATTAGTATCAATTACTAAGTAATTGTAAAAATTATTTTTAACAAACAAATACTTTTATTTCGAATATATATATTTATTTTGTTTTATTTAGAATCTATTGCAGCAGTTTGTTCATTTTATCCAAAAGGCACCTGTTCCAAAGGTGCATTATGTCCAATGAGGCATGTACGAGGTGATCGCACAGTTGTTTGTAAACATTGGTTACGTGGTTTGTGTAAGAAAGGTGACCAGTGTGAATTCTTACATGAATATGATATGACCAAAATGCCTGAATGCTATTTCTATGCTCGATTTAGTAAGATTAAATATTTATTTGTTTACATATTTTTTTTATGTACTTATGTCACCTAAATAATTTATTTAGATGCGTGTCATAACAAAGAGTGTCCATTTTTACACATTGATCCAGAAAGTAAATTAAAAGATTGTCCATGGTATGATCGAGGTTTTTGTCGTCATGGTCCACATTGTAAACATAAACATGTTCGCCGTGTACTTTGCATAAATTATATCGCGGGATTTTGCCCGGATGGTCCAAATTGTAAATTTGTACAGTATGTACTTATATTATATATATATAATTTTTTTAAATATATAAGTATATTATTTATTTTAGATATTTGATAATATTAATACTGATTTTATTATCTTTATATTATATTGGTTGTCATGTAAATAAATGTAACTAGTTTAGCTAATTGAGGTATAAAAATATTGTCTAATTATTATAAAATAGGTAGGTATTTTATTTTTAACATAATGTAATAATAATAACATAACCAGTTTAGAGAGATAAAGAGTAACCTTTAGAGAATTAACCATTTCAATTTATAAACACAACTAAATTTGCATTTTGTAGGATACATTTAGTTCTGTTAATTTTAATATTAGAGTTCATCAACCTATTATCAAACTTAAAGTCAAGAATATTATTTGCTTTTCTATGTAGTATATTTTTGATATTACAATTTTTAAGTGAGGTTTAACTATTTTTACATTTTGATAATACACATGCTCATATTTCTTTTAAAATTAAAATATTGGAAAAATATCAACATAGGAACACAAATAATTTTCTTACTTTTATGTTTTATTATAAATCAAATATGTTTACATGGATGGAAAAATGTTGGTGGATCAGAAATGCTTGACAATTTTACATAAAATGCATGGTAAAAAAATGTAATTATTTTATATAGGTATACGTTTAACGTTCAAATTTGACATACGTGATTTATTTAATACTTATATTATATATATATATAATTAATATGTCAGTTATTTTGTTATTTGTATTTATAATTTATAAAAATTATCCATTCTACAATGCATTTAAAAATTTTGTTCATATTGACAATTTTTACCATTTGCATTATTATTGCTTATTCATTCATAAGTTAAAATTTGACTTCTGTATTCATCCAGAAAATTAAAATTTAAGATTATTTCAACTCAATTGATTACATTGATGACATTTAATTACACAGTGTAAATATATAAGGTGATTGGAACATGTATTATTATTGAAACTTGTTTATTAAAAATTATTAGTTTGTTATACCTAATTTTATTGAAAATTTACTCAAGCTATTTTAAATTATTGACTGTTAACTGACCTAATAATTAGCATTTATATACCAATTAAAACCATTAAAATTGCCTTTATTATAATTTAAATAGTTTTTATTATTTTATGAACAATGAATAATAATGATGAGAAATCTTAATTTTCAATTTTAATTTATAAAATGTTTTATTATTATTATTTTTAAATGAATTAATGCTTATGCAAGTGAAATGTCTTTGTTCTAAATACATTTTCTTAAGACGTTCTTCATAGAACCAGCTCAAAAGTGTGTCAAAAGTGGGAATTGAAAAAAAAAAATCATTTAAATATTGAGTTTATTAATTAATTTGTATTATTAAACATAGTTAAACAGATAATAAAGTTATACATAAATACATATTTATTATTATTATTATTGACTATATAATATAATTTCACTTATAATTTCCTTATATCACTAAACTATACACAAAATTAAATACACACATTTGATAACAAACTGCATTAAAATAAAATGATAATACGACTATAAATAAAACTATAATTTATTACATCCAATTATCCCTTATTGATTAAAAATGAATTAATTAAATATATTTTATTAATTTATTATTACCCAATAATAAATTATATTTATTATTAACTGTTGAACAAAAGAGCATCTTATCCAATTTTATAAAACTGAGCCTCTTATCTCAAGTGGTTTTTACATTAATACAAGAAACGTTTAGAGACTCGAGGAAATTACTACTTATTATTTTGTAGTCTATGGTAAGATGTACTTAAAATAGAATTGTAAAGTTCAAATATACATGTGTAATTGTATTTAGTATGTATTTATTTTTGTTTGTTGTAACCTTGTAACTTGAGATTTTATAATGTATTAGTGTAATATGTGTATTTGTAATCATACAAGATAAATAAATAAATTACTCTATATATATATAAGAAAATATAACACATTTAATATTAGTCCTAGGTTTGAACTTCCTGCTTATCAACAACACGATACAAATCAAAAAGATTCAAAAAAACTTGTTGTAATTTGCCATTTTTGTGGCGACACTGGACATAAAGCAATGTATTGTCATAAAATGGTATCAGATCTTGTGAAGATTAAACCAGAATTGGAGACTAATGATCAGTCACAACAAAATTCTCAATCAGGATTCGCAAGAAAATTAAAACCATTAGAAGAAGTTACATGTTATAAGGTAATAAATAATATTATATATTCATTTTAGAAACTTAAAAATAATTGAAATTTGAATTATATTTAAATAGAAATAATTGTTAATTTTCTAACTTCACTTAAAATCTAAAATGATTAGTTGATTATTATATTTATAGAATACTATTGAATTTATAATTTACATATGTTCACTTTTCAGTGTGGATTCAAGGGCCATTATGCCAATAAATGTCCAAAAGGCCATTTAGCTTTTTTATCATTACAACAAAATCAAGCACTCCAAAATAACCCTGGTGTATGACCCATGTATATTGTAGGTATTTTATACTTTGGTAATTTATTACAGTACCAATTATATATTATAATATAATGTTTTTATAAATATTCATTTGTCTGAAAGAAATATTTATGTACAATATTATAATGTGTAAAATTTGTTATCTTTTAAATTTTTGTATGGATAGCTACAGTTTATTAATAACGTTTGTATAAAACATTTAAGTAAATTTAAAAAAAAAATTGTTTCATAATAAAAATCTGATTACTAATTCTCGGTTAGAAAAATTAAAATATTTTTCAAGTAGCTATAAATGTAATAATTGAATTACTTAAAATAAATAGATGTCTCAGGAAATATGAAGAAATAGTTTTTATGCAAACCTTTTTGAAATCAATGTATTTTTTATTTGTATATTATGTTAGTATGTGTTGTATTATATTATGTGTTTTAATGATTTTAATCAATTAGATATATTTATATTATAGATATTATTATTTAATATTTAATATTAATTTGTTCAATACATTGTTTATGGTTAAATTAAGTTAAATAAATACATTTATTAGTTATTTAATTATTTATAGTTGTCAATGAATAAATTTAATTAGTTAAATATTAAATAAGTTATTGTATCTAATTTCTAATGTAATATAACTTTTAATGACTGTAATATCATTATCAAGACTACTAGTTTTTAAAGACTTGTATTTTAAATTTTAATATTTTTTTCAAAAGATTCTAATTGTAGTACACACAGCCTAACTTGACTTTTATTCCAGAAATTAGGAGATATGTCACAATCAGAACTTTTCAACAATTTCAGTCTATTGCTGTCAGGTTCTTTTAAAGTATTGAACTGCTCTCTTATACGCTCTTTTTGAGTATCTATCCTTCAATTCTCTAGAACCCATTTACAGTGGTGGATTCTTCTTACTTAGAGCAAGTCCAGAGGATTTTTTTACTCTTCAGCAGCTTTCATTTTAAAATTTTCCCATCCACATCCACTATACGATAATATTCCAGTGTTGGATAAGTTCAGTCTTGTTTCTCTAGCAGATAGAAGAGTGGAAACCAATTTGGTATTTTTTTATATTATGCTAATTGACATACATGTAGATGCTTCTAGAGTTCTAACACATTCCACTTGGTCCATTTCTTATTTTGTTGTGCTGCTCCAATATGGTAGGAACTACCATATTGATCATATGATGTCAGCTCCTAAGCTTCTTTTATTTAATTATTCTTACTATTTTTATTATTTTGGCCACCATTCGTTAAGTTTCCTATTAATTCTATTTTATTGTTTTTCTATTGGAGAAATATTTTTGGTGGAAAATATAAACCATACAAATATAAAACTATAAAACCATTTCTGGACCATTTAATACTGACACTGGCAAAGCCATAGGGGATAGCTAGTATTTTATATTTTTGAAGACCAAACAGTAAAAATAAGTTAACTTATAGATTTGAAGAACATTATATTCTAATAAAATATAGTGCTTGTATTACGGTTTTGTATAGGTATAATATAATGACCTATTATAGCCCATAGGCCAGATTATAGGTATATGAAATTTGAATATGGTTATGTGGCATGTGTTTAGTGTATGACGTTATAGAAGTCATAACAGGCGTATAAATTTAAAACTGACAGAACCTAATCATGTAACCGTAATGTACATTTCATTGTCATTGACATAAAAAATATTTCAGGTATATACAAATTAACCTAAGTAAGTATAAAAACTTTGCATGTGAGTGCGGTCACTGTGGTAGGTGAGAGGTTAGGAAGTTAGTAGAGGGAAATTTAATGTATATCTGTAAGCAACGAACTATTGCTAACGCAAAAACCATTCTGAGCAAAGTTGATTTGTCATGAGTGTAAATACCATATTATGGTAAAATATTTACATAGGCCTTATATATTTGTTTAATATTGTACCTATTTTCCTGTTTTCCTATAGTTTTCTCATGTTGTTTCCCAGTTTTTTCCAATTTATTGGGAAAATCGAAAACTGACCTCTTTAAAGTACCTCCTTAGTCAGATTTCTTTTTAGAAAAAGGGCTATCATTAGAAATCTGAGCAAAAATACTAGTAAAAAAGTTGTCCACAGAAAAAAAATGCCGTAATATTTAACAAATGCATTTTGTACAGTTTACTGTTTTTCCTCTATTTTTTCATGGTTTTTCTAATTTTTTATGAAAACTTCTGGGAAAATTAAAAAATAGCCTTTTTAAAGTACCTTTCCAGTTCGATTTCCTTTCAGAAAAGATGCTACACTTAAAAATCTGAGCAAGATTTCTGGTAGAAAAGATGTCCATAGATAAAAAAAAAAAAATAATAAACATCTTTGTAAAACCATAAGCTTCTTCACTCCACTTAGAATCTAAAATGTAAGGAAAATGTATAATGATAATAATTATTATACTATAAGGTAGACTTATAAATTTAAAAAAAAACTATCACCGACCAACACCACCCAACAAGTCAGGGAGGGTGGCCCCTTGGATCTGTGTTTATGTAACTATTTATTATTTTAGTGTATACATTTTTAAAACGAATTATGGTTCGTTAAATTCTTTACTAGGATATGTTGGAAATTTAAATATTTTACAAGAAAGTCAAAAAAAAAAAAATGAATTATATTATTGTACCTATATCTATAATTAATATGATCAAAAATCAAGAACATAAATTATAATTTTTCGATCAGTTTTATACTTCAGTAATCCAGAAGTAAATTTACTTTTAATTCGATAAAAATAATAGTTGTAAAGATGAAAAGAAATAAAATATGGGTTTGAATCCCTACCTCCTCCATCTTATTCACGGGCCTGTTAAAAATTCATAAATTTTGATTATCTGTGGTCAAATGGTAATGAAACAAATCTGAGTCGCCAATTCGCTCCCTCTAAAAGGATGATTAAATACGCCACAGCAAAAAAGTAGGCATTACGACCTTCATACGTGAAAAAAGAGCATAATATTGGTCGGCGTCGTTACCTAATGTGAAGTTGATAATGTCGTAATATGTAAATTTCTTAATGCAATATAAGTTCTTTTTTTCTTAATAACCTAGAAATAAGCTAGAGACTGAAAAAAATAAGGTCACTTATAATTATTCTAAATAATTCATAATTGTTACTTCTTACCTATAGGTTGCATTCTGTATTTATAATTAAATTATATATGATATACATTATTATATTTTCTTTATAGTACATACTATAGTGGTGTAGGTATGTCTGTATTTTTAAGAAAATATTTTTATTATTATTATTTCATGTCTATATTACTTTAGTCTTTATAATATGCGTAACTAGGTGCTTAAATTTGGGGGAGCTACTAGAATTGTCTAGTGGCATCATTTCAGTTTTTGAGAGGAGGGGCAAATGATTTGACCCGCCCATAATAAAACTGAAAAAAACCGCTCACTAATTCGTCCGTCACAATATTACATTTTTATCTCAACACAATCTCATTCTTATTACATCATTTTATATTTACTATCATAGGCATGAATAATCAATTTTTTTGGGGGACAACAATGACTAAATAATAAATATATATATAGAGAGAGATACCTAAATATATTACCTATTATAGCTCCTTTATAAAGATTTAATTTAAGGTGAATTTTACCCCAATTTATATTCTATTTGCGTCAATATGTATATGGAGTATATATATATATAATATATTATATTTACAATTAATATAACCATGTCACTATGGACATCAGTGTAATCATAGAATAAATAAAATAAGAATAGTCGCTCCAAAAATTTACATAGACTCTTATGAGAAATCGGTAATTTCAGCTAAAGTGCAATCAATGTTAACAGAAAGTACAATAAAAAAAATATTCTATACAATTATCACACGTATTACAATTATAATTTATCACAAACAAATCTTGAAGAACTGTAGCTGAGAGAGGCCGTATGCAACATAAATCATGAATTATGTTTGCAAGCTTGTGGTTCAAAACTAACCCATACCCGGCCTAATAGAGGCCCGCTAATGACAAGGAGAGGGGAAATGCCTTCCCTGCCCCTCCCCAAATGATGCCACTGGAATTGTCTAGTATCAAACTGAAACATTTTTTTTTTTACTGCCTCTTATTTAAACCAAAAATATTATAGAGTAATGTCATAAATATATCTAGTAATAGCATATGATAAACTGTATATTATAATTATACCAATTAATAACAAAGCTGGTAAGGTAAGATAAGTGAGTTAGTTTGTCTAATCGAAATCTCATTATATTTAAATGTACTAGTTGCCTGGCATTATGTTAATAAATCTATTCCGATTCTCTCTTAAGTTGCACATTTCCTGGTGGCATCTCGTAACTATATAATTAGTTTGACTAAATCGCCTCTCTACGAAGTCAATTTTTTACCTTCTGTCAATTACGATACATTTTTCATTGAGTTTTCTATTGATTCTTAATAATTCTCCTACTAATTTTGTTAATAATCTTTTTTGGATTATTTGCAGAACAATTTTCCACTTTCAATTTTAGTTTTCACTGATAGGACAGTGTCTTCTTTATCAGCGGGTACGCTTTCTTCATCTCTGATCTACAAATTTTTTCTCTAATAGCCCTCCATCTTAGCATCTTAGCACCATAGCATCTTCTTATACCGCTGAATGCTTTGCTATCATTGAATCACTCCATCTTATTTCCATTTTACAACCCAATAAGTTCCTTATCGCTACCGATTCTCTATCATGTCTTCAATCTCTATCTTCCGATGTTTTCAATTCTTCCCCTATATCTCCTATCTATATAATCAAAAATCTGTATTTGTTCCTCTACGATTCAGGCTTTGACATCCAGTTTATACATATGTATTCAAATATTTATGTTATTTATGGTTGAACCAGATCAAAGTTTCTGGTGTATCTTTTCATTTTGGCGGTTCGGCCGTAGTATTTTATCATTAATTTCTACCATAGTTTAAAATATAGTGTATCTTAAACTATGATTTATAGTTCCAAAAAAAATGTGCCAGGATCGTTTATGCGGGCTTTCACTGTCACATATTTACCAGGAAATAAGTACCGGGTAATCCATTTAAGTGGGTACACTCATTATCTTGGAAAGTATTAACTTTTTCCGGAGTTTGTTTTCTATAACATTTAAGAAAAAAGCTGCTCTACTATTTCATATTTACGTTATTTCTGTCATCCTTATTTTTTGGGATACTTACTTTTGATTTTCAAATAGCAATCTATATTAAAATGTCCATAAATAGATGGAGAATTAGTTAAAATAATTTTTAGTGTTGAAATGTTTGATTTCTGTTAAATCTCGATTCTCCTCCAACTAAAACTTAAAAGTGAAATATCTCGTTAACGGACTGACGGAAATAAATTCCAACACAAACATTTATTTTAACAAATATCCTATCTAT